ATTAACCCTGAGCTATTCGAAGGAGTTTCCAAAGCGGTTCAAAAGCTCTAGCAAGCTTGCAAAAAAATAGTTCACCGTTAGAATTGTACCAAAGGACCGGTCAACAGTTCATATTTAAAAATAACGAAATTGATTTTAAGGGGGCTAATATACAAATTCTGAACGTTTGCTCAAAATTGAATTGGTTTTTCCATCGACTGTAAAAAACGGCCGTATAATCCTCGAGGTTTATTTTTACGGTGAGGAAATTGTTTTCCGCTAGTTTACGAGTCTTTTTATTTTACCACTCTTCAGACGGATTTGGCTTTTATTCTCACTTGAGATTTGCCACGTATCATGTTCAAACGGGTGACCGAGTGTGAGTTGAATATTGACTCCAAAACTGAGAAAGACCGACGATGGAAAACGGCAAAGTTTTTTTTATTAATAGCTTCCCAATTCAATATTTACTCAATATGTACAATATGTAACGAGTGTTGGAAATATCCTCCATTAAAATCGAAGCGGCAACCACTCAATAACGATGACGGTAACCGGGCCGGTTGATTCTGAAAACATTGCATCATTTGAAAAATAGTATAGGTTATATTAATTCAAACCATGCTAATGTGGACTTTGCCATAGCGCACTACATGCGTTAATCGTATTTATCCACATCCCTCACAAAAAGTCTGTAAATAAAAGGAGAAATGATTCCGTTAAAAGCTGATATGTTCATCTTGGAATCTTCAATCACCAGCTTGGTATCTTCGTCCATTTGTAAGTCGGGTTCGAATGCCGGGCCGCTGGATTCGAACCCGGGGCCTTCACCTTACAGCGCCGTGTCAACGTCTAAACCGTTGCGGCCACCAACGCCCCCAAACTTGGTATCTTCGATCTCCATTTTGTAATCTTCAATCTCTAGGTTCGAATATTCCATCTCTAGTTTTGAATCTTCGATCTATGCCTTTTAATACATATTCAATCTCCCTGTTGGAATCTTCGATCTACATTCTGTGATTTTCAATCTTCATATTGGAATCATACTCCACCTTGGGATCTTCAATCTCGAGCTTCGAATCTTCCATCTCTGGTTTGGAATCTTCAATCCCCAGCCTATCTTCCGTCTCTATCTTGCAATCTTCAATCTCTAGGTTCGAATCTTCCACCTCCATTTTGGAATCTTCGATCTACATGTTTTGATTGTCAATCTCCATTTTGAAACTCCAGCTTGGGGGGTCTTCAATCTCCATGTTGGTGTCTTCTGTCTCCATCTTGGTATAGTATGATATCCATTTTTGGAAACTTTAATCTCCATCTTGAAATCTTTGATCTCAGTCTTGTAATACTCGATCTCTGTTTTGGAATTTTTAATCTCCAGTTCGGAATCCTCGATCTTCATTTGATGGCTTTACATTTACAACAATCTCACCAGGAAACGTGCTATTCCCCATAATGCGAAAACTCTTCAAATAGCGTCAACATTATTAAAACTTTAATGTCCAATTTTGCCTCAGGGCAAAACCGAGTTTAGCAATTTTGTCATAGGTTAGCTGTCACTCATGAATTAATGCCGGCGCAGTTTTTTCGCCCGTGATTGGCCACACTGAAATTTTTGAGGCCAGCTTTAAATCTCCTCTGATGTACTCTCACCACGTATTCCCGCTGTTTGGACATTCATAAGAACAGCATTAGTTTCAAATTTTCTTAAACGGATTTCGTGAAAATCAGAGTTTAGGTGAAAATCTGACCGGGGAAGGAGATCGGTCAATAGGACGGATAAGGAAGCCATTCCATTAATTTGTTTTGGGTCTGTGATAAGAAGTGAGGATCGTCTCGGTCAAAAACAATTATCCACTAATTATCCAAATCTAGAAGCATTACGCCGATTGCTGCGCTTAATATTCCACGTCGAGCTGATATTGAAGGTTTGTCCTCTGAGAAAATCTATTTTTCTAAACATCACTTTGTATAAAAACTCCGCGAAGTTCGACATATGTTTGTAACAGGCCGTTGAAGATGTTTCCGATTCCTGCATTTGCCAGGACAAACCAAAAAGGGACATCTATCTTTTCACAATTGAAACGCCATACCGCTGTGATTTTTCGAGTAATCGAACTCTCGATCTGCTTTTTATTTTTTCAGGCCGGCCGATGTGTAATATACGTCCGTTTCCATTTTTAATCGTAGTGCTCCTAGAAAAGCGTGTCTTGCTTTTACGAGTCGCCCTAAAACAGTCCCATATTACCAAGCTTCATCTGGACATTCGTTGAAACATTTAACAGGCGAAGAGACCGAAAGGGTCCGTTCAATGAGTCTGCTAGATTGTCTTCTCCTTAAACCCGAAGAAACTCGGCATTTTTTTATTCATGTGGAATCGGCTACATGTATTATGTATATTACTTTTAAAAAAGTCAATAATGCACGGGGTAGGACAAATTCCTATTTGTTTTATAGGATGTGTGTAGACCTGAATAAATATCCGATGTCAAAAGACTCACGTTTATTAATTTTATCCATAATAAAACGCCTTTTACCTTAATTATTTTCACCTGAAAAACACTAGTGATCTTTATTCTCATACCTCTCGGTTTCAAATTCATGTTACTGAATCATTATTAATGAATTGATTGTTAATTCCACTAAAATGAAATGATTTGTTATGCATACATATTGGAATTATTGAAAGTCTATACCCAACCCGTCCCTAAACCTAACCTAAATTAACCCCACCCTAATCCTAGCCTAGACTAACTCTAATCCTAACCTTAGACTAACCCTAACTTAAGCTAATCCATCCCTAACGCTAATCTGGCCTAACTTTTTCTAAACCGCCCCTAGCCTAAGCTAGCTCGTCCCTAACCCTAACTTAATCTAGTCTAAGCTAACCCAACCCTAACATAGACTAACCTAAGCTAGCCCATCCTATCCTAACTCTAATCCTATCTAATTAACCATTCGTTAACTAGCCCAAGCTAACTTAATCATTTGTAGCCCACCCTAACCTAACTCTAATCCTAGCTAACTAAACTATTTGTTACCTTATCTAATTTGACTTTACCATTTGTAATCCCACCAAACCTAACCCTAATCCTATCCAACCCAACCATCCGTTACCTAACTCAAGCTGACATAATCATTTGTAGGGCGCTAGACGCAGTAAACTTCAACAACCCTCACCAAGCCTGGCAAACTCACTACCTCAGTTAGAGAAGTTCGTTCTTAGAAGAAGGATCGAAGACTAAAGAACTAGGAAAGTACAATAAACCAGAAGCAGTACTTGAGTACTTGAGGAACAAAAACCCCCTACTTCCCAGTATCCATCATCATAATCAAAACAACAACCACCACCACGTAGCCCACTTTAACCTAACTAACTCCAGCCTGACTTAACTATTGGAAACCCAACCTAACCTAACTCTAATCCTATTCAACCAAACCATTTGTTACCTAACCCAACATTCAATTTGTAACTAAACTGTAATCCTATCTTTCTTAACCATTCGTTACCTAACCCAATCGATTTGTAAGGGTGTAGTTATCGACCAGCAGTTGTCAAATAAAGATTATAATAGTTGACTAGTATAAATTGGCAAACTCATAATAATATCGTTCATTTCACCATATCCCAGATCAGCATCTATAATTAATTATTTGTAACCTCATTTAATATAATTCTTATCCAATCCAACTTAATCATTCAGTAGAGCCCAACCTGACTTAACTATTTGTAACCCAACATAACCTAACCTGTTATTGATGAACCCTTTTTCATGTCAATATGAGCTAAGGTAGCTCTCATTTTATAGTTATTGGAGAACGTCAACACATTGATAGAGTAAAACCTTATCTCTTTGAGCAGTAAGATTGATGTGGGTGTTTGTGCCGCACACTGATGGCTTTTTTTTTCTAACCTCAATTAATTTTAACTCATGAAATCCCACACACTATCCGATATAATTAAGGTACATAGATATCTTTATTATCGCAAAGTTAAAAAAAAAAAGGCTTAAACAAAGAATACCATATAACCTAGACATATTTGGTAGAACATTCCGTAGAAACAAGGAGGTCTGTTTATTATTTGATCAAAGATTTCCTGCAGGTTGATATTGTTTTCAAACAACTTTTTAAAATAATCAAACCCCTTTTCTTCAATTTCTTTCTTTCTGATCCTCTTGCAAATACAGTTCCAGGGCTTTAAGCTGTGACCATATTGTACAGGAAATGAAACTTACACACTGAAATTCTTCGTCTATTTCGATTTGGATGTCGAACAATTCGAAGAGGGTCGATTCCTCGAGAACTGACAAACTTTAAGCTTTTTCTCAATGCGCTGTTTGTTGTCAGTTTACATTGGAGCTCTCAAACTTCGCCGAACGCCGTTAGGCCGACTTAGGGCTGAGAAACTTAGAACGACTTTGGCTCATTTGCAGTTAAGCCCACTTAAGACGTGAAATGTAAATCCCGATTCTACGGTAAATTGAATAATCGTCAACATAAAATTTCGTTACTCGTCACGTCGTCTGAGCCCAGTGGCCAAGCGTTAAAGTAAATTTCTGGCATTATTAAAGTAAATTTGACCTGTTGGCTTTTAAATAAAATTGCATTTTTTATGTCTCGTAACACGCAAAAGTTGAACAAGTGGCAGGAATAGGCGTGATTCGCGGACAAGGTCGTCCTTGTTTAGGTCCTTAACATATTCAAAGCCCCCGTGGTATGCAACCGGCAAATATTCAAAAGTTCGACAAAATTTTCTTTTGCCCTAGTCGAACATGGTCATGTGGTTAAATCAAGCCCTGTCTCCTAATTGCAATAAGCGTAATTATACGGTATATCTTTTGAGTTTCGCCATACTTTCTTCGTTTTAATAATAAATCGAGCAAACTTAAGGTTTTTTGTCGGTTTTATTTTAGTTTTCAATCTTGATAACCGTTGGTAACACTATTATATAATATAAATACATATGTATCAAAATAAGGCATCAGTGTGTAACCATAGTGACTTGACTAGCTAATAATCCTTGCTCCAAATAATTAACGTGCTTAGTCCAAATCGCAATCTTAGTTGGTACGCTACTTGAAAAAAAACAAGATATGGGCTCTAGTCAAAGTAATTATAAGTCTGATATCAGAATGCCTTTGGTTGAGAGGTAAGATCGAGTAAGTTGTAATTCACATTGTTTCTTTGTCATCAAATTCTCGAAAGCTGGATTTTTTTCCAAATTTTTGTTCTATTGAGTCTTTATTTTTTTTCCGGAAGTGGCGAGGACAATGAACTCAACATCTTTTCTTTACTTTTCTTTTATTTTTCCGCTATGCATTTCGGGGCCAACTTCCCTGCTCCCCTCTTCATGGCTTTGGGGAGTTTATAAACATCAAATATCCCAGTGTTTTCCATATGATTTGTACCAAATATGTCGAACATGAAAAATATAAAAAAATAAAACTCGCCAATTACAGAACAAACAACGATTCGATGATAGATGTTTTAGATTGACGCCAAACAATTCAATGTTGCCTGAGGAGGTTGTAGTAAGAGAAGAGCCATCCATGTTGGAGATGAAGAATTCAAAATGAAGATTTTTTGTACGAGGGTTAGCAGCAGCAGCGGTCATAAAAACCCTCAGGGTACCGGTGTTTTTGAAAAAAAGCCCATTTGTAAGTAAGTCGGGTTCGAATGCCGGGCCGCTGGATTCGAACCCAGGACCTTTACCTTACAGTGATGAGCGCCGTGTCAACGCCTAAACTGTAGCGGCCACCGACGCCCCCCCCAAAATGAAGATTGAGGATTCCAAGATGGAGTTTTTAAATGAGCGCCAAAACAATTCAGTGTTGCCAATACATAGGCAGAAACACGGCTAGGGCAACACTACTAAAGTTGGTGTTGCTCTGAAGCAAAATTGGGTGGAGATCGAAGATTCCAGGATGAAAATTGATGTTTCCAAGTTGGAGATTGAAGATTTCAAGATGGTGATAGAAGTTACCAAGGAGGATATTGAGTTAAAATGCTCTAACTCAAGATGAAGTTTTTAAATGAGCGCCAAAACAATTCAGTGTTGCCAATACATAGGCAGAAACATTGCTCACGCCATAAAGCTATCCTTCAAGTGAACTGATAAAGGCAAAATTGGAGTAGAAAGGATTAAAACGTATTTTAATTAATTATACTTTTCAACTTGCCCAACCTTTGATAAAAAGTATAATTAATTAAAATAATTAATATGATCAATTATAACTACTAAATGCATTTATGGATTAATGTTTTAAATAATATTGACCCTGTATGATAAGGGACGGTACGTTTCCTGGGTAGGTTGTAGAAGGTGAAGAGCCATTTATGTTGAAGAAGGTAGTTTCCAAGATGGAGATTGAAGATTGTAAGTAGGAGATTTTAGACTGGCGCCAAATAGGACAGTGTTACCAATACCCAGGTGAAAAATAGTGCAGGGTAAACACTCTGTGCATCCTAAACCCCTCAGTTTTTCTAATTAAACTCTCCCTCTGAACCAACATTGGACCCTAAAGGGTTAATAGGTAATTTAATTACAAAATAAATTATTTAGTCTTTTTTAAGTTAAATTTTTAAAAAGAATGATGTGCTGAACTTTTCCATTACGACTGTGTAATAAGCTGTTTTTATTCTCCGAGTTCTTCTATTTTGGCAGATTGAAATGATAAAACATTTTCAGTAATACTTTACTGAACATTACCATAATTCAATTACTGAAATAATAATTTTTTTACAGACTTTGCTCTCTTACGCTCACGAGATTGGTTGTAACGAGGCCTCTCGGTTCTGATATATCTTCAATAACAGTTTCTGTTAAAATGCAGGTATTTAAAGTTGCCTTTAGACACAAATATTTTTATATTTGAATATGATAATCATTCTCACTTCAAATATATGTTTTTGGTTGTTTGTTTGTTTTTTTTTGTTTTTTTAGGGAACAAAACGTGTATTGCGTTCAAATGAAATCCATCTTCAACCGAACGGTCTTCTTGAAACAGATTTGGAGCTTAACTTCTGCATTCAGGTAAAATTTATCATTGTTTCGTTATTGAATTAGATCAAAACCGAAATTTAAATCTAACGGATTACATCAATTTCCCTGATCTCGTGTTACTGAGGTGTGCGCATGGGTTGGGTTAGGTTAGGCATTATTGTAATTATGGTTAGGGTTAGGGATGGAATGTATTAAGGTTATATTAGGATAGGTAGAGTTATGGTTAAAGTTAGCAGGGTATTTTTAACACTAATTTCAAGTGTTACAAGTATCAATCACTGCTTTACTGACAAATAATCTAAATCATGGTATGGTGTTGATGAAAGAACTAATAAATGAAAGAAAAAGATGAAAAAACTAATTCAATTGTTATCTGCCAAGCTTTTGACCTATTTTTAGATCATCATTGGGGCAAAACCATCTTAAAGATGTCAATAAATCGATATAGTTAAGTATTTAATAAATGGTTTCAAATTTCTTTCTAGATCTTCTCAATCCCAACTTTGCCGAGAACTATAACACTGAATAGACCATACCAAGATTCGGATTATTTGTGAGGCATTAGGATTAAATTGGTTAGGTAGGGTTATTTCTAGTTTAAAACAGGGTTAGGGCTAGTATTAGGGTTATGTTAGGGTTAGATGTTTTATACACCAATAGGCTTAATAGTTTTAAACTTAACTAGAGCATATGCATTTCCTTTTTTCCATTTCTTCCAAGGTTTGGCTAACTTGCCTACACGTCCATTTATTGACAGATTGACAGTTTCTGCAGATTTGCCCCTCGGGTAGGGGTGGGTTTTTCCTTTTTGTTCATCTCAATTGTTACTTGTTTGAAAATAATCAATTGATTTTTCAGTATCCACATTTTTTGAAAAGAGAAGGAAACAAATTACAAATCATGCTCCAGAGACGTAAGAAATATAAGAACAGAACGATTCTAGGTTATAAGACTATAGCAACCGGAATGATCAACATGAGTTTAGTATGTAAATTGTATTTCAGTTTTACCATCTAAGTCTAAAATTATTGGGTCTTTTCAGGTATTGCAGAAGCAAATTGACATCGAATTAGATCTCCTGTCCGAAGACAAAGAATCCAAAGGAAATTTATGTGCGCGTATTCTAGTCCATGGGCTGAATAGCCAGCCAGTCGATTCCGATCTGACATCCAAGCAACCATTAACAGGTACAATCTAGCTTTTATTTTGCCCAATTTTTATTTTAATGAGATTCTTTGCTCAGCGCAAATTGGACGGTTGGAAAACTTCTCTGAAGACGACGAAGACTATACCAGCAATGAAGAAGCCTCAGACTCTGAGCCTATTGTCAATCAACACAGACATAAAAATAACGTACCCCCAACTACTGCAAGGGTGAGACTATTTTCTTTTTTCAGGCAAATTTTGTTTTTAAATAATTAAAATATTTTTTACAGCAACGAAACCTCAAACAAAAGTTTATATCCCTTCTTAAGAAATTCAGGCTCAATGAAGACCTTCACCACTTAGACCATGAGCAAAGTAAACTCGCAGGTATAATATAAAAATTTCTTAACAATAAAACACTAATTAAATATATTTTTAAAAGACCATCTACCGTTTATAAAATTATTCTCTTGCGGTTAAGGACAGACAACACCTGCCTGACACAGGGGCTGTGGTGGTGAAGCATAAGCCTCTAATGATACCAAAAGTGATTATAAAGATAAACTCCTTGGATATTTAAAATTGATAAGCACCCAATCGTATATTTTTAACCTCTCAGTGTGGCTTTTTTCTGTTTTTCTGGCCTGAATGTATTTATTAATATGTTTAGTGTGATAAGATGGTGAGAAACCGGTGTACTATCGGATACTTCTGTGCCTCCTATAGTTTTATTAATTGTACATACAGCTTGAGTCTCTTTTTCTTTAAAAATTTTTTCCTTTGAGGTTACAGTTAAGATTAGATTGTGGATGAATTATTTTATGTTAGGGTTATAGATGAGTTAAATTAGGTAGTATAAGGTTATGGAAGGGTTTGAGCTAGGAATGTATTAGGATAGGAAGAGTAAGACTTAGGAATGGAGTTAGAGTAAGATTAGGTTATGGATAAGTTATGTAAGATTAAGGGATGGAGACGGGTTACATTAAGTAGAATTAGGGTATGGAAGGGTTTGGGCTAGCAGCTCGTTAGATTAGGAAGTATTAGGCTTAGGGACAAGTTGAGATGAGGTTATGGATAGGTTATGTTTTATTTAAGGTTATAGACGGGTTACACTAAGTAGGGTTAGGTCATTCAAGGATTAGGGTTAAGAACGTGTTAGGTTAGGAAGGGTTAGGCTTAGGGACGGGTTAGGATTAAGTTATGGATGTTATATTAGATTTAGGGTTAGAGCTTTGTGCAATCTTCAGTGAAGAACTCTAGACATTCATGTAGGCTGGTATATACTGAATATACCATAGATGTCGATTTGTAAGGATGTATTTATTAGCTAAGTGTGGACGATGTATATAAGGGACAAAGGTGACACTCTAAAAACAATCACTTTAAAAGATGAAGGTGTAACCTTTTCCATAGAAACTAAGTACCTAGGTATAATTCTTGAGCAAATGCACATGTGAAGAATTCATAAAGGCAGTATATTACATAAGGTGCAAAGTAAATATAAGTAAGCAATCCCCAGAGATTATGCAGCACAACTTGGGTATTGGTTACACACCACAACGGATAAACCTATTGTCACATGGAGTATTAGCTCTAGGGATGATTAGGGTGCCAATAGACTTCTGATATACAAAAAAATAAAACCTGATCTTACGAGAATCCATCATTAAATTCTGATAAAGAGTAAAATTCAACTTTGAAAGACCCTTCCAAGTGATCATAACAGTGATCTAAGGAACTACACCCAAGCAAAACCCCTTGGACTTGTTTCAACTATATTCCTAGCAGAGGTCCATGCAATAATCTGTACAGAAGAGTTGATAAACAAGAAACTGAAGGTGCATGTATGTTTTTAGCTTTAAACTAGCCTGGGGCGTAAAATTGCATCATGGCTTTAGTAGAACAAGGTTACCTTGTGGTAGGTAGATATAGACCAACTACTGATAGGCACCATAAGTAGATACACCAAGGAATGTGTTAAAGACTGGGAAAAATATCTTGAGAGAGAAAACCTCAAACACTGGAAAGCACCAGGTAGGCAGGTGCCTAAGAGTTTCATAAAACTTTCTTTTTCCTGCGCAGGCACTGCAACACAAAGTCCTATTCAAGGTGTACAGAGCCTCAATAGAAATGTAGTACTCTAGGCTGCAGATCTAGGACAAAATTTATAAAACTTAAATACTTTTTTTAAACGCTATCATGTTATATTGCAGGAGGGGATATGGACCCGGCAGACATAGAAGATCTAATCGATGAACTGGAGCTTAGTGATTCAGGACCAGAGTTGGATACTGTAAGCATCATCTCGACTCCGAAGCCATCCCTAAGGCCGTTCTTTTCATCCAGCAAATCACTTTTGAACATAAATGAACCGACACTGAACGTCCCAGGTGGGTTATAATTGTGTATTATATATAANGTGGGTTTTTATTTTTTTACAATTGTTCCGTGTTTTTACAGAAAAAGGCTTTGAAAGGCTTAGTGACGAAAGCTCAAAGAGGGCGGATTCGGATTCACATCCAGATAGCGATCCTCCTCTTAGCACAAGTTCACCCCCAAAATTTGAATCGTTTCGAAAGGTATAAAACAAAAATCTGTTTTCTGGCAAAATTTTGGAGAAAATTCAGAAACAAAAGATCAACTTACAAGGCCAAAATATTAGACTGCTGTGTTGGAGGAAAATGAGATTCTCACATATTTTGGAATCCACAATGATCCAAATTGCCTGAAATTCTACAATACTATTTATATAAATAAATAATTCAAAACATAAACGTGCTTAATTAATTAATTTTTTTATTATGTATTCTAATGTATGTTACTGTGTGTTAAAAATTCAGGACATGGCTGAAAAAGAGAAGAAAAGTCGATTTTTATACAGAGACAAGAGCACGTCTTTAAAGAAGAAACCTTCTGTCTCATCGGGTAGCCAAAATATACATCCCGTTGGAGGATTCGAAAACCCTGATATGCCAACAAGCTCTGATTTACCTGAGGTACAATTGAATAGATTCTTATTGAAATGCACTCCTTGTCAGAAAAATTCGCAAGTCCAGTAACTATCTGGCTAGTCTTTCTTATTTACGTGTCATTCGTTCGAATATGATGATGAAGTCTAATTGAGGGTTGATTACTGCTGATCTGAGGGGTGCTCGCTATACTGCCATGGACACTCTAGCACTGCAAACACGTTCACGCTTATAAATACACTGCCACACAGATTAAAACATTAACTGCAATAAAATAGTCTATATATACAAAACAGGTGAGAGGTTAATTGTTTCGATTTGGTTTCGTCAAGTCCGATCCTCCGTTTTTTTGAACTTTCAAACAGGACAGATAGTCCTGGAGGTTTCCGCTGGGTCTGGGGGGTTTAAAGTAAGTCCCAAATAGCAGACAGTGGTTGCTGAGAGAAGAATAAGAGGGAATATGGCATAAAGTGAATGTTATTTGCTGGGATTTGGTTTCATTGAGTAATAATTACTAAACCTGACCCTACCTACAGTAGCCATTCCTAACCTAACCCTACTTAAAGTAACCCATTCTAACCCTACCTCAAATAATAATTACTAACCTAAACCTACCTAAAATAACCATTCCTAACCTGTAACTACCTAAATTAACAATCCTAACCTAGCCCTACTCAAAATAACCAATTCTAACCCTACCTTAAGTAATAATTACTAATCAAAATTTACTTAAAGGAACCATTCCTAACCTAATTCTTCCTAAGTAACCATTACTAACCTGACCCTACTTACGGCACCCATTACTCACCTAGCCCTACTCAAAGTAACCAATCTTAAACCTATTTTTTTCCTGAAGAGAACTATAAAACCTTACTTCAATTTCTGGCACCACCGGTGTTCACATTTCTGTTATGCAGGTACTCCTTGCAAATTTCGCCTGCACTTCAGATTCATTCGTGCAATCCTTTTCTCACCAGAGTCATCCGTCATGGCAGGTGGCCACACTCGACAACCGGAGTGGACAGTGACAACCTCAAGACCACATGAAGGCTTCCCTTAACACACCGTACTTCTCTGCCTTGAGGTCTACCACAGTGTCCAATGTGCCCGCAGTCTCACACTCCAACACAAGGTCTAGGATAATTATCCCATCCTCGTCCAATCCTAAACCTACCTCAAGTAATAATTATTTAGTACTTAAAGTAACCATTCCTAACCTGGCCCTGATCAAAGTAACCTATCCTCCTAACCCTACATCAAATAATAATTACTAACCTATCCTACCTAAAGTTACCGCTAACATCATAAATTCCTAAATTCATTACATCCGAAATGCCTAATGTTATCATTAATAATGTACATAAAGCTACATCCTAACCTGACAGTACTTAAAGTAACCATACTTCACCTAGCCTCAAAGTAACCAATCCTAACCCTACCTCAAGTAATAATTAATAACCTGATCCTACCTAAAGTAACTATTCCTATCTTGGCCCACCTCAAAGTAACCAATTATACCCTACTTCAAGTAATAATTAATAACCTAAACCTACCTAAATTAACCAATCCTAACCTGGCTGTACTTAAAGTAACCATTCCTAACCTAACCCTACTTAAATTTACTATTCTATACCCTATTCATCCTCGAACCTGGCCCTACTAAAAGAAACAAATCTTGCGATATTTTTTGGTAGAGAGTATATTTCAGATAAACATTTTTAACTAGTATATTTAACATTTTCAACATAAATTCATTGTAGCAGAAACAAATTATGTTGGAGCAAATATCCCAGCTGTTGCCCAACGATGAGTGGCTCCCAGAGCATGTGTTCATCGTCAACACGTACGACCATCTGGGAAAACTCGTCGCTTCTAACTTATTGGACCAGAACTACAAAGTAATATCAACTACTGCTCCAGGGGAAGTTAGAATATTCATTGCATTTTTGATTAACAAAATTCAAGCGTTGTAAGTTGTTTTAAAAGATTTCAATTCTTGTCGTGTGATAAAGAAGTTTCTGAGTACATACCAGAAATGTTTTCCAGTTGTAACAACAATTCAAAACCGCCTGCTGTACTTAAACTAATTTTGGTCGGAGCTGACAGTTTCTTGAATTGCATTCTACGCAACTACGTTGAGCTGCTTTCCACCAAGCCACCGGATTGGCAAGGATACATGAGATTTTTGATTGTACCATTAGGTAAGACAATGATTTACTTGAAAGTTGATAATAATGAGAAATAATAAAAAATTTAATTAGGTATAAGTACAGTGAGCAGATATCTCGGCACTTTAGATGCTGTTTACAACAAGTCATTTGTATCAGAAACATGGCAGGACGCTATAGAAAAGGAGGATACGGACGAAGTTGTCAGTCGAATACAAAGGTACATGCAACAGTCAAACGCAACTGTCCATTTGCCAATAGCAGAAGCTATGCTGACATGCCGAGAAAGATCCTCTGCTGATGACTCGTCCCAGATATTTATTCCATTTGTCAGTGTATGTATTCAATTCTTATTTTTGCTTTACAACATAATACCCTGTTCATTTCATTGTAGGATGTTCGGTTGGGTTCAGACGAATTCATGAGTGGAGCATCCCTTGAGATTGACGATATGGGTTTGTGTTTGGCACCATCTGGATCACCTCCAACAGGAGTGCACTCAGATAGGAAAGTCTCACCGCCAAGTTCACCCAACATGAACATTTTAATGACATCGCACAAGTATATATAAATCTATTTTTCATATCAAAAAGAAAAAGTTAATATAAATTATTCCTAGGGACAGCACTGAAACACTGGAGCTTCAAGTCGACTATTGGCTATCTCCGAATCGTCAATGCGAAAGCAGGCCTGATAGTGGAACAAAGGGAAAGCCTGAAAATACAAAGTCTACAATAAAGTCAGCTTTCCGCTCACTTCACGTTCTAAGATTGGGCAATATAGGGGAGCTTCCGTCTTCACACTTCACTATCAACTATTCGACAAAAGAAAAAAATAGAAAAAGTAAATTTTACATGATTGATTGATTTTTGAACTTTTTTGTGTATTTAGTACTGTAAGTAATGTTGGTGTAGTTTAACAACAGCACATGCATGCAATGAAAAACATTTAATCATAGATATGTAACCTAATCTAAACTAACCTGTTCTTAACCCTACTTGACCTAACCTAACACTTCTCAAACCATACCCTAATGATTCCTAGCCATATCTAACCTGTTCCTAACTCTAACCAACCTAACAGTTATTGACCTTACCTAATCTGCCTCTAACCCTACCTAACCATTATTATCCTAACCTAATTCCAGATTCTTCAGCCAATGGGTAAGAATAAGTCAGTTCAGAGGAGAGAATTTCAGGAAAAAAGTATGCGAAAAAAGTATACAAAAAAAGTCTATTTTAAGTTCACTTTAAATCAGAACTACTAAACGTAGGACATGTTATGATTAAAATATTAGGACTGTTGACTGAGCACTCACACTCCAGGCATATGTTTACTACTTAACAAAACCTTTCTGTAACCGTAAATCTCACATAACCTATCCATAACCTCATTTTAACCCTAACTTGTCCTTAAGCATAACCCTTCCTAACCAAATGTGTTTCTAATCCACACTCTTGCATAACCTAACCTACTTTCATAACTCTTCTATGACCTTAAATCTAACATAACCAATATTTATAATCTAACTTTACTTAATGTGATCCACCTCTAACTGTAAATCGTACATAACCTACTCTTCCTTAATAAATTTTTTGGAGACAATTTTTTAACCCTGTCTGTTATAATGAATTGTATTAACATTATACTGTTACATAGAATAGTACATCATCAAATGTTCTGTTTTAGTCATGAGACTTGGAAAACGCAAAGAAAAAGATAGGGAGGAACAAAAGAACGGATTCATCGATGGTGTATTAAGATTGATATGTTCACCAAAGGCACACAATTTGCCTTTAAAACGTAATATTTTACATTAATAATATTCAATTTTATTGGATTAATAAAAAAACTTGAACGTTTCAGTTTCAATCGATGGCGCTGAATGGAACGGTGTTAAATTTTTCCAACTAACGTCCCAATGGCAAACACACATCAGGCTCTTTCCAGTTCTCTTGTTCACATGCGTCGATGGGTTTCCTTTATAGTGCAAGTATGTCTAGTACTCAAGTATTAAACCATACATCGAAAGAAATTTGTTTTTGATTTTTTCCAGAGTATCAAGATTTGCCTTTTTCAAGGACAGTATGATCTCAAAATATTACAAAAAGAAGAAATCCTAAATTAAAACATTTGCTAGGTTTCATAATATTTTAAGGTTTTTTTAAAAATAATTGTTTGTTTTTCTGTGATTTTTTTTCTTATCCATTAAAACGATTTAATAGTTTTAGTAATATGAGTATTTGTGCCATTATAATGGATCGTATTGAGTTTTAAAACAAACAATCTGGCATTTTTTTCATATAGTTTTTTTTCTTTTTTTTAATATTTGTGACTATGACAATTTGGATTTAACAATATTACTGGAAATGAGCATTAAATTTTGTCCAGTAGAATTAAACAATTTTTTAGTGTAAAATGTGCAATAAATTCATTTTTTTAAAGAAACAAGTTCACTTGAAAGCAGGGCTTAGTTTAGAAAAAGGTACCAAATTGAGTAAGAATGATGTGAGAAAATACCAGAACTGTATACAATTGAAATTAAATCTAAAAAAAAAATAAAAAAAAATAGCACTCTTGCAATTGAACAGTTCTTGCTTCACTTTGGTTGTGAAAATGAAATAGTGTCGGATTGTGCATAGATGTTTTATAAATTTTCTCCTCGAGCAAAGATGACTGAAGAAGTCTCTGCTATTTGATATTTTTCTAACTATAAAAATATTTATTCAATTAGTTTCATGGATCTTTCAAATTTTAATTGAAGACATGGGCAATTTGTATATCGAAGGTTCACCAAAAAAAGAGAAAGTTTGGACTACAGGGTGGGACCACCATAATAAGTCTGAAACAGTGCGATGTTTATCCACCTAGTTAAATTATATTTAAAAAAAATAAAAGTTTGGATTAAATTATTTTTTATACACTACTAAGGATAGTGAATTCTACAAGGTTTGAAGTTTAATTTAAAAAAAAAATGAGGCCAAATATATGTAAACATAATAACAAATTGTACTATCAGAACAAGTATATATAGCTTTTTCCATCAAATTACCCATTTTTATCTTCAAATTAACTCTTTCTTTAAAGCATATGAAGTATAAGTGTATAAAGTAAAATTAGTGTATATTTGCACACAAAAAAAACTGAGCTCTTTGAAGGCCATAATTATGACAATTAATTAGTTCCAATTAAAATGTATACATAAATAAATATAAAAAATTACTTTTACTTTTAATTTGAGATTTTTTTTAAATATGGTCAAAAACAAATTATTTTACATTGTTAAAAATCTCAAACTAATAGAAAAATATTTTGTCTTACTTGATTTTATATTAGTTTTAATTTTAATTAAATTTCATTTGGTATTTTATATAAGAACCCATTTCATTTTTTTAAATCACAAATTGCAAGAAGATTCCATCATTTTATATTTAATTTTACTTATGTTTTAACTTTAATTGAAATAATTTTCATATGGTAAACCTTGGTTCATTTGAAATTTAAAAGGGTTAATTAGAAAAAAATGATAAGTTTAAATTAAAAAGAGATTCATTTGAAAGTAAAAAGAGCCTCATTTGAAATTAAAAAGGGTCAATTTGAAATAAAAGAAGGGTCTATTTGAAATTAAAAAAGGCCAATTTGAAATTAAAAAGGTTTCATTTGAAATTCAAAAAGAAGTTAATTTAAAATTAAAAGGGGTTCTTTTGGAATTAAAAAAAAATATAATTTGAAGTTGTGTTAATTTAAGATTAAAAAGCCTTAATTTGGTGGAAAAAAACTATATTATTAAAGATTGACATTGAAAGTCATTATTGTTCGCTTAATCTTTCTTGAGAAAAAAAAATTAAATTTAATATTGCAAGCTGTATTTTCCAAATTTTAAAGCACACCCCCCCTTAAAAGAAAAAAACGGAAGTTTTGGATAAAATTTGCATGTCAGCAAACAGCAAATTTTTTTAGACTGTGATTATTAGTCTCCACCGGATTGTCTTCAGGTGCAAATTATTTAGCTCAAAACATGAAATTCTGGTTGGTAGGGAATTTTTTTTGTATTATTTTTTTCAGTCAAAAATAAGTCTGGTCATAAAATAAGTCTATTGTATTTTCTTTTGGTGTTCTACGGTTCTTGAGTAAAGTTTTTCTCTGGATATATTAAAATCTGAAAGGGTAATGTCAAGGGAGCAAGTGCCAGCCTATTTCTGATAAGGGTTTCATAATAGTAATAGGCCTCTACCATCTATCGGTGTGAGGTTCCCTTCATATAAATATTTTTCCTTCCTTCAATATGCTCCACTGGTTGTACTCCAAGTCATTGTGGAATTATTGACCATATTTCTTATAGTCTTCACCTCCATCCTATATCCAATCTTCACTCAGGTGCGCTCCTAAATATCTAAAGCTACCCACTCTTTCCCCTCTAATCCTAAGAACTCTCATAGCCCGGCTGCCTATCCTCAGTATTTTCTTTTTTCAATTACTTTGATGAAGGATGGCCAAAGCTCTTTGCTTCTTTAAAATGAAAACTTCTACTTCTGAACCGAGCAACTAAGGATGATGCTCCTAAAGCGTTAACATACACATCACAAATTTTTCTACAAGTCTGACAGTTTTCACTTTGTGGCAGTAAAAAAAATTAAATAACAATTACAGTAGTATTCCTCCATTTTTGATTAATAAAACACCTTGTAAAAATATGAATATAAACAATAAATAAATAAATATTGCTTCCGAACACAAAAGATAAAATCAGATTACTGAAAAAGCACTACGGATTATTTTACAAGCCTATAATTTACCATAGAACAGTGTTCTTTATTTTATTTTTTTATTGTATTATGTATATATATTTTATTTATTTAAATAAATGTTGTCTATTATAAATACCAAATAAATTAATCGTTTATTGAGAAATAATTTTTTTTGTAAATAATTTTTTCTGTCAAATTAATCCTTTTTTACTTCAAATTAACCCTTTCTAATTGTGAATTAACCCTTCTTAATTTCCAATTACACTTTTCCATTTCAAATAACTTAATATCTTTGAATTAAAAACTATATTTTTTGTTTAAATTTCAAATGAAGGTTTTTAATTTCACATTAACACAAAAGCATACGAAATATAAGCAAATGTACTTTTTTTAACTAGGGTATTTCAACTACATAGTTAAATAAACCCTCTGGGTGCAAGTGTTTTTGAAAAAAAAAAAGCCCATTTGTAAGTATATTGAGTTCGAATGCAAGGCCACTGGATTCGAACTCGGGACCTTTGCATTATGGTGATGAGCACCATGTCAACACCTAAACTGTTGTGACCACCAACAACTCTTAAATATATTATAATTGAGCTCTTAGAAATCCATATGGAAAAAAATAAAATAACGCATGAAAATTAATTACAGTTAAAAATTGAAAATAATATAAAATTAAATATAAAAATAAAGGATTCTTCTTTTAATATGAAAATTATTTTTAAAAAATGGTTCTTTATCTACCACATGCACATATTTTACCACTGCAAATTAATTAATCAAAATTAATTAGAATTATACAACATTAAATATAAAAACAAAATCTATTAATTCAAGATTTTTCTGGTATATAACGTAGTCTAATTATTTTATATTTAAAAAAACTCAAAATATTAAAAGAAAGTGTTTTATAGTTAATTTGCAAGGGGCTCAAATATTTTAAATTTTAAAAAGTTAAATTAAAATTAAAATAAAAATCCTTTATTTTATATTTAATTTACATTTTTTAAAGGAATTTTACTTTATATCTCATGCTTCATACAGTCACTACCAAGTTTTTTTAATGCCTTAAGGAAACGGTTCATTTGAACTTAAAAACCTTAATTTGAAGTTGAAAAGGATTATTTTAATATAAAAATGGTTAAGATGAAATTAAAAAGGGTTAGTTTGTAGTTAATTAACATTAAAAAGAGTTAATTTGAAATTAAAAAGTGTTATTTTAAAATTAAAAAGGTTAATTTAGAGTTAAAAATGGTTAATATGACGAGGGAATAACTGTAAGCAAAAACATATTTAGGCACTCAAGAATAAGATTACCACTGCTATATAAAACCAAAGATTGATGCTGCTTATTTCAATCGATTTTATTTTTATTTTATTATATTATAAATGATATATTTTGGTTAATGTACTTCTGTTAAATCCGGACTCTCAAAATCTAAGCATGACATACCTTGAACAATTGATGTTTTTGTTTTTATTTGTAAATGAACAAGTGAACAAGTAAAAATGGGAAAATTGTTTGTCAGATAATGTATATCATCCATACAATAATACATAAACATTAATAAGTAATAAGTGTTATAATATTTAACATAATATATTAATTAAAAATTAAAAACCCTGATTTCAAAGTAAATTGGTCAATTTGCTAAACGGTGTTGTAAAATTCGATTTAAAAGAAAATGTGTTAGTTAGTTTGTACTGGAATTGTCTTTGAATTAGTTACGAATTAATGTTTAGTGTATACCAACTTTGTACGATTGTCATATGGGTCAATTCATAACGACGCTTAAGTATACCAAATAATATGTAAAACTCTGACAATTCTTTAGACGAGGAAAGCAAAAAAAAAAATTAAATAGTCAAGAGGCATAAATAATTACTGGCCTAACGTAATTAGTTTAATAATTATAAAACTTTTAAAAAAATGTATAATGTCAATGTTAAACTGTAATCACCTTTGCTTTCCTTTTTCCCCCAAGCTCACTGTACTCGATGTTGTCATAATGTTGAATGCCAATTAAATGTTAAAACCCTTTTAGTCCCTGAAACTTAAGTGTTTTTATGCTATATTGAAAATAGCACATATAGGCAGTTTGTATTTAAAAAAATAATTTTCTAAACAGTATGCTTTTGGAGTTGTTTTTGAAATTGAATTGGTACTTCTGTGATTTGAGATATAATAGGCTAATTTTTATCAAGAGAAATGCGTATTAAGCTATATTTGAATAAACTTAATGGTTGTACATTATCATGTATGCACGAGAGAGTGTGTGTCAATTTAATATATAAGCGTTAAAAAAAGATAGGATAAGAAAGAAAAGTCAATGCAATTTTTTTTCTATAAAAATTTAGTCAATTGGAAATTTTTGCCTTGTTTTTACTTTTTTAAATATTCAGTTAATCTCCTGCCCTTCCTATATTGAACAATCTGCCGTAAGATACATAAAAAAAATTATTAGTGTTTTTTGAATAAAAATGATACTTTTTCACAGTTCTAATGGCAGATTTTGTTAGTTTTAGTAGGTTTTCAGCATTAAGTGAACATTCCTTAGGGTGTTTGACAATTACATACATACCAAGTGATATTCACGTTACCAAATCTCCTAAAAAAATATATATATAATACACTGTGTTCATTTTTTCTGTATACATTGCCTCATTGGACATGTTAATTTAAAATTATTTTATTTTATTTTAAGTTAAGCTTATTTACTGACATCATTTATAGCATGTATGACTTTGACTTGAATTTAATAAAAAGACTAAAAGTTGAAATTTTATATACAGAACAAAAAAAATGTTAAAAATACACTGTTTTTGTAATGTTAGCTTTATTCAGTTTATTTTCTGTTTCGAAAAAAAGCGCTTATCAGTCGTTAACATGAGAGATTCTTTTTTATAATTAAAAATGTTTCAACATAATTGTATTTGATTGATTGGTGATATTTTAAAATGTTGACAATAATATGTTTGATTATGCATAAGTTAGGTCTAAATATATTTTATTTCATGTTTAAAAAAAGCATATGCCTGTAATTAATTTGTGTAAACATATTCATTTCTAATTCATACAGTTTTGTTTATGTTTGTTTTTTAAATATAAAATATATTTGGACTGTGATATAATTAGTAATTTATGTATGAATTTTAAAAAAAATTGAATTTGGAATGTTGAAGTACTCCTCGATCATACATTTGTAAGATGTACGAGTTTTGTTTGAAAAATAAATAAATAAAAGATTAGCGATATTATAATAAATCTATAAGATGTTATATCAGAAAAGCTTAGACATAAATTATATCCATTGATGTTTCACGCCAATCTTACTTTATTTTTGCCTGTATCCATTCCTTTTAATTACAATTTACAGGGCATAAATTCTCCAGTCTCAAGGGAAAAATGGTTTTTGAGCCTGATGTTTTATAATTAAGTTGAGAAGTAAATAACGACCTTTCAGACACTTGACAAAGTTACATCAACATTTCGATATCTATCTTCTCCAGTGTTCCTCAAGGGGAACACCATAGGTCCACTACTTTTCACATTCATCCCTGCCTTTGCTGTAAATATAGCTACCCTTTCTGCAAGCCCAGTATGAGTAGTGGCCTTCAGAAACCTCCAAGACGATCTGTCCTGTATGGAAGTTCAAAAAATGAAGGATCAGACTTGACGAAACCAAATCCAATCAAATGACAGTCACTCATTCGCCTTATCGCCTTTCTTATTTTTCTCACAGCAACATATGTCCTCTATTTTCGACTTATTTGGAACCCCCAGGCCCAGTAGAAACCACCAGGACCATTTGAATGTTCATGAACCCCCAAGTAAAAAAACTTTCACCCTCTTCTGTATAACTTCTTTATACGTGTCTTAGTAACCAATTTTCTCTATTTCGAACTTATTTGGAACCCCAGACCCAGTGGAAATCCCCAGGACCATCTGTACTGTTTGGCAGTTCAAGAAATGGAGGATTAGATTTAACAAAACAAAAACCAAGGAAATAACCTTCACCCTCTAATGTATCACCTATTCCCAATCTATTGTAAGTCGGTATCTCTCCTAGCAACCAATGTCCTCGGATCCAACCTTGGATTAGTACTAACTCGGTGATGAGGTCTTTCATTTGCCTTGTTGATTTAAGGCTCAACTCGTGTCTTTTCTAACAGTAAACTACTAGTTTAATAACCACAGAATACCAGTGATCAAACTTTTAATACCAAAAGCTTTTGAATTTCTCTTCTGGATTGCCTGCATTTTAATAAAACAGTAAAACCATTAGAAGTTGACTGGGTATGGGGACACATCAGGCTGGAGGGCATAAGCCAGCATCCGCTGATACTAAATAAGTGTAGTTCAACAAACCTGCAATTGAAGACAGACCTAATGAGTGATCCAATGCCTCCTATAATATCTTATTACAGTCCTTGGCAATGTTGGGACTGAGTCAGTCTTCAAGGAAATTTGAGATCACCTGTAAAAACTTAAATATGTCAATCTGTAGACATATTTAAAGTTGATTTGCCCTGATAATGACCTTAAAATAGGTTGAAAGCTTGGCAGTAGCAATTTGATTTCTTCTTCAAGACCGTACCTTAATCCAGAGTGTTCGTAAGTGAAAAAGCGGTTGATACTTCTATTACTGAAAACAGAAACCTTATAAGCTACAATATCACATATATGTTTTACAATCTTAACATTAATACCATATAAATCATTGCTCTTTGAAATTTTTTATGCGTGTTCTAATTGACTCGACTTCATTAGTCTTGACCTTTCTAAATTCTAATCTAGATACAATCTCTAGCACACTGCAAAAATCCAGCTTCATTTATTATTACAGGTAGAAAGTTTTTTGTTAGATTTTTAGCTATATTTATAAAATATTCATTAAAACTGGTCGAGTCTATTGTAGGCATCTAACACTGAAAACATTGAATATTAAAGCTATATTTTGTACACCATACACACACTCTGGTTTTCTTTTAAATCCAAATAAAATTTAAAAAACTGCAGCAATTAGTTCAGTTTGATGAGAAAGCATGGTATGTATATTGAATCTGAATGATAATATATATTTTATGTGTGGCTGAAATAAAAGCCTTATGTGAATTGGCCACCTAGGAAGGCGAGAGGGGTGGAATATAAAGAAAGTTTATTCGGGTAAGCCAGGTGGTAGATGCCTGCGAGAAAGGCCTAGAAAGAGATGGTTGGTCGACGTAGAGGATGACCCTCAGAAAGATGCAGATTGGTTGATGGAGGACAGAAGAATCGGTGGTTGTGCGATGAACATCTCTAACTTCACGGACGTACGACAAGACATAATCGAAGATTATGTAGTGCCTTTTGCCCATCAGTGAGAGATTATTGCTAACACAGGCTAATTCCAGGTCCCATAGAGCACGCATTGAAAAATTAAACAAATCTGAACAAACCCATTGTCATCGATTCATCAAGAAGGACCAAAATGTTCTAGTAAGTCCAAAATCCCCATAATATTTATTTGTATGAATCAATAAAACTATTAAATGGAATATGTAATTTTAAAAGCAGGTGGTAATTGTTAAAGTTTGAAAATTTTATAGGGGGGAATAAAGGTATAAATTTCATGAAGTAGGGCTCGTAGGTTGGCAAGCGTGTCGACGTAAAAGCGGACCAGTGTGTAAAACTGGAATTTCTGTCATTCCAGACTTCGACCCGACTCAACCGGACAGAAATGGCGTCCTCCCAGGATGCTTGGTATTTATCGTTGTTGGGTCTCGCCGAACACTTCCGCACCTCGAATCCGCCCGACATCAAAAAGTGCATTCAGTGCCTCCACGCCGTGTTCACGTTCAAGCCGCCGAGCAGGGTCGAAGCCAGGACCCATCTGCAACTCGGCAACATTCTACTTTCCCACACGAAAAACGTCGATTTGGCGAGAAACTACCTCGAACAAGCCGTAAGTAGGAAGATTTCGATCGTTCCCTAACAACCGGTCGGACGGAGGTCGTCTTTCTACTCTACGAAGACTAGTCCATACAAGACACCTGGCCCTCTTTCTTATCCCGACATAAATTTCCGTTTGAAATAATCACTTTTTTTCATCTTTTATCCGGTTTCGGACAAAAATCAGACTTACGACACTTGATATCAAGAATTTTTTACCATTCCGTAACCTTTCGACTGCTATCGTCGCAACAACAACAAACCAACGGATTTAACGTTATTAATTTCTTCATCCCTAGCATGCCATGATTACCCCGATATTTAATCATTAGATCGACAACAAATAATATTGTAACAAACGAATAATGGAGAGACAATGTTAAAAAAACTTCATTAATTCCATCAAAAAAGCATTGACGAGTTTTTGTGATATGAAACCTGTCTCTAAAGCTGAATTTTTATGGTGTTTTATGGCATGTTTCAAAGTGTAAAATATAACAATCCTTGGTGTTTGGACAGCTATGCGTTATCATCAATGTGACAGTAATTCACGATGAAAATTTATTTTAACTTTGGAAATTGCAAAGATATTTTTCCAAAATAAATTTCAGAACTTGCGTAATAAAACTTCATGATTCAGGTTTGACACAGGTTGACAAAAATGACAGTTGTGGACTCATTAATTTTTTAATTAAAAAGTGTCACTTGATGATGATGATTGATACTAGGAAACCTCAATCTGGCAATCTTTTCCACAATTCAAATTTAACAAACGGATAATGGAGAGTCTTAAAATAAAATTTCGAAAAAACTTCATTAAATCCATCAAAAACGCTTTGACGGGTTTTTGTGATATGAAAACTGTCGGTAAAGCTAAAGTTTTATTGTTGATATGGCATGTTTGATCAATCATTGGTGTTTGGACAGCTGATGTGTTATCATCAATGTGACAGTAATTCACGATGAAAATTTATTTTAACTTTGGAAATTGCGAAGATATTTTTCAAAAATAAATTGCAGGACTTGCATAATAAAACCTCATGATACGGCTTTGGAACAGGTTGACAAAAATGACAGCTCTGGACTCATTAATTTTTGGATTAAAAAATGTCACATGATGATGATTGATACTAGGAAACCTCAATCCGACAACTCTTTCCACAAGTCAAATGTAACAAACGAATAATGGAGAATTTTAAAATAAAATGTAGAAAAAACTTCATTAATTCCATCAAAACTAAGCTAAAGTTTTATGGTTGATTTGGCATGTTTCAAAGTGTAAAATATAACCATCCTTGATGTTCAGACAGTTGATGCGTTATCTTCAATGAGACAGTTATTCACTCCATATTTTTTTTTTTTTTTTTTTTTTTTTTTTTTTTTTTTTTTTTTTTTTTTTTTTTAATTTGAACCTGCATAGATGTTTTTCGAAAATAAATTGCAGGACTTGACAAATAAAACCTCATGATTCAGCTTTGGAACAGGTTGTCAAAAATGACAGTTCTGGACTCATTAATTTTTGGGTTAAAAGGTCTCACATGGTTATGATGATTGATTGATACTAGGAAATGATGATTGATAGTACTAAAATAAAATTTAGACAAAAAAACTTCATTAATCCCATCAAAACTAAAGTAAAAGCTAAAGTTTTATGGTTGAGTTGGCATGTTTGAAAGTGTACAGTCCTTGATGTTTGGACAGCTGATGCGTTATCATCAATGTGACAGTCATTCACTCCGACTATTTTTTTAAATTCATAAATTGCAAAGAGGTCGTTTTGAAATAAATTGCAGGACTTACCTAATAAAACTGATAAATGGTGGAGTGAGTGTGTTGGTCAAACTTTCTTAAAAGATGGTTCCTACTCACAGTTAGTTGCTTCAATGATCCGGATTTCGAGCTTATAGCTCATCTTCAGGTTGAAGCAATTTACAACCATGTTTCTCGACATGAATTGTAAGAGTTCAACAATTTCTTACTTTTATACTTTATTTCTTTATTTACGGTTTCCCAATTACAAATGTACACAATAGAAGTATTAAGTTTATAACCATACATAAATTTAGAAATATTTATAATAATAAAAAGAAAAACAATAAAACAAACAATTTAGAATGACTAGAAATAATTTGAAAATGATGTAACACTATAATTATCAATTATTAATTGCAATCAAATTCAGTATTAATTATGTTAATGTTACAATATTTAATTGTCTAATAATAAAAGTTACTTAAATTTTGCATAAACTGCCATTAAATATATAATAGTTCCTTAGTTCAATGCAATCGACTCGATCCTTCTCCTAAAAAGTACTAAGCCATTTCCTGATTTTCCACATGAAACATGTCAAAAATGAAGTTTTCATTGTGGTTTTGGCATGTTTCAGAATGTAAATAACTAACACGACATCGTATAGGGTAGTTTTGTACCCGAAGGATATGCCTTTCCTATTTGAAGCTTGCCACTGGACATCCTGTTTATTTCTTTCTTATAGACTATTTTTAGAATAGAACAAGTCTACGGTTATAGTGACATTTTTATTTGTATTTTTTTCCCCCAGTGGCTACTTTCGCAGAATATTAACGCTTTTGACGATGTGCGGTTCGAAGCGGCAAGTGTCCTTGCGAGTGTTTACGAAGAGCAAAATCAGAAAATCTTATCTAAGTCAATTCTCAGGCGAGCCATCGAGTTATCACAGCACAGCGTCTATTGGCACTGCAGGCTATTATTTCAGTTAGCGGTAAGTGTAAAAAAAGGATAAAATCATACTGTTTCTCTGTTTAGATTGATAGTGTTCGAATGGAAATTCTGTTGGAGGAAAACACTCCAATTTACAAAGGAAACCTGGGCTCGAATCTCATCATAGCACATTGCTTTATAATTAAGAAAACTTTGTTTAAATAAATATCTTGGGGCGTCGGTGGCCGCAATGGTTTAGGCGTTGACACGGCGCTCATCACTGTAAGATAAAGGTCCCGGGTTCAAGTCCAGCGGTTCTGCATTCAAACCCGGCATTCTTACAAATGGGCTTTTTTGCAAAAACACCAGCACCCCGAGGGTTCATTAACCTCGTTGAAGTACCCTCTAACAAAATAAATATCTTATTCTTATATTAAATAGTGATTTTTAATTTTATGTAAAGTATGGTTGAGATGAAAAGATTAGTGGGACTTGAACTCACAATCTTCAGCTGGATTCAAGACCCACTCATTATACTAATCTTTTCACCTCAACCACGCATTACATAAAATAAAAAATCACTGAATACTGCTCTCGTTCAGCAATAGGACCAGCTCAAACTTACATTAAATGTTTGTTATTTATTTCAGCAAATCCATGCATCGGAAAGAGATTACGAATTGGCCTGCAGTTTGTTAAGCGTAGGCGTCGATTACGCTCATATTTCATCAGCTCATTATACCCGAGTTTTATTTCTACTCAGCCGTTGTATGGTGAGCGATTTCTATATTGTTCTATTACATTTTCACTTTTCATTCAAACATTCTAACAATTGCAGTTGATGCTGATTGATAAAAAATTTTCTGACGTGCTTCCATTACTCAATCAAGCTGGGCATTTATTGGAAAACTGGCAAGGGAATCAATATCAGAAGGAATACTTAAAGGTCTTCTTCCTAGTCCTCCAGGTGAATTACATTTATTATGTTGACACGATATAATTTTGTATATATTAAACTAAAAAACGAGAAGGTGGATATACGGGTGGAGGTTATAGTCATATTTTAAAATGGACAGGTAATAGATCTCGTTTAGTACTAAGCTAAACTCATAATTTTATTTTTGTCAAAGCGATAATTTTTAATGTTGTAAATAAATGTTTATTATTTGTTGATCATATAAATTATTAGAAATAGTTCCAATGTCCTGTTGAAGGGAAATACATTCCTCGAAAGCTTGATGAAGGAACTGACTATTTATCTTTCAATTTCACCTTATTCTAAATATGTTTATAATACAATTTATTGACGTATTATTTAAAAAAAATTATTTAAAATAATTATTTTCAGGTTTGTCACTATTTAATGGCAGGCCAGGTGAAAAGTGTGAAACCCTGTCTTAAACAACTACAACAGAGTATACAAACTATAATGCAACCATCATGGCCCTCTGATGAAGGTGATTTAAAAATAATATTTATCTTTGACGCTTAAGAGTCGATCACTGCGATATTAGAATTAATAAAACATAAGTTTTAACCACCAAACATTCCAACAAGAGCTTTTTAATTTCATCACTGTAAAAAGAGATGAGTAACCAATTGTGACCCCTTTAACCATCATCATTGAAATGAATTCCGAGCGCATGAAAACAGGTCTGAATGAGAATGTTTAAAAATCACCCAGAACCATTCCTACAATTTTTACCATGCCATGGAGCAAAACTTGTTCCGGATGGGTCTTTTGGATGTCCAGTGATAATCAGCCTTAACTTGATCTGGAAGCATGAAGCAGGGTCGATCGTTCTCTCATCATAAAGGAACATCAGACAGGATTACTTTTGATCTCCCCCACCAAAAAAAATCTCTTCTTCATAATTTTGGTCTGCTTGCTTATCCATGCTGGGGTTGGACTTCAACATCGTCAGATTGGGTCTGTGCGATTTCTTCTAAGTCAAATCCTCAGATCAGTGGGAATGTACTCCAAGAGTGAAAAAGTTTATTAAAGGACCATTGCAGAAACAAGCATGTGCTAATATTTCCAGGAAGAAAAAACCACAGAACATGACTTATACAGGCTGAGATTCCTACTCCTGGGTGAGAAAAAGCCAAGGCCTGAGGATATGAGAGCCCTTAACAAAGCTTTTGGATCTGGTAAAAAGTCGTAAGCTTAACAAAGAGCTCTAAATAATATCAGAGATGGGTATATAATATGGGAGATCCATTCATATTCTGACAGAAATATAACCTAAGTTCAGTTATCTAATATTCTTACTACCAATTTATTCTAAATGTAGACACACTGAATATAGTTTATATATGTAATCTCTCATCTAACCTAACCAGCCCCATCTTTACTTAAACTAAAAACTTCCTAACACTATCTTAATTGTAACCCCACCTTAACACTAACATAGTTGTAGGTCAACCCTAACATAACCCGTCACAAGGTTGTAATTGTAACCCTACATAACCTAACCCAATCTTTTAAAAAGATTGGACAATAGACTAACTCCACCATTCATCATTTCTATTAACCTAAACCATTCCTACCACTAACTTAATTGTAACCTAGCCTGCCCAGACTGTACCTAAGCTAACCCCTCTCTAACACTAACTTAATTGTAGCCCAACCCTAACCTAACTCTTCCCAAATTTTACCTAAACTAACCTCTAACATAGTTTTAGCCTAACCCATTTTTAGCTCTAGCCTGATTTTAACCCTACTCTAACCTAACCCATTCCAATATTACCTAAGCTGACCCTTCTCTAATACTAACCTAATTGTAACCCAATCCGTAGCACTAACCTAATTGTAACGTAACTTTCCAAATTTTACCTAAGGTAACACACTAAACTCATTGTAGACCAACACAAAAACCTAACCCATCCTCCATTAGCTCTAGCATATGTGTAATTCTACCAGAAATGGCTACTAAGCTAAAAACAAAAACAATGAATTTGCCGAATTGTTTGATCATAGCAAAATTTCTTTATCAGGGCAAATCCCTTCCACATTAGAAACTTAACGATTATGTGTTACACAAACAGGAGTACTTTTCTCTGGTCTTCTCGGCTATGAAACCTACTCCTCCCATAACTGCCAACATTTCGTTTTGGTGCATGAGCTGACTTGTGCCCTTCCCTACATTGGACTATCCCCTCATTTATATTTGATTGTTCGTGTATATCAAATTAAAAATATTTAAGTATTTTTTCCTTTATTTGACCCTAATTCAACTTAAATTGGCTGTTGGTTGGTTAATGTTTTGATAAATGATCTTTCAATTTTTCTGTTGTGTAAATGTCAGTTTTAATACACAAAATATTAACATTTAGTGTTATTTCAGTTGTTAGTGGACCAAATGTAGGTGACATGTTTATTTGGATGCCAAAGGAACATTTGTATGTTCTTGTTTACCTTGTATCAGTGATGCACAGTATGCAAGCAGGTTATATGGACAAAGCACAGAAATACACCGACAAAGCGTTAATGCAAATTGAAAAGCTCAAAAGTAAGTAAAATAAATTTTGTATTATTCAATAAATAGTCCATTTTTAACATGTATCTTTACAGTTGTAGATAATAGTGGGATCCTCTGTGCCCTTCAATTGATGCTTGTCGAACATATGGTTATGTGCAGGCTTGTTATGGGCAATAAATGTATCGCCCTTTCTCAGATGGCCAACGCTTGCTCCCTGTGCAGTGCGAACCCTCAACTGATGAGAAACCACAGGCCTCAGCTGCATGTCCTCCTCGGCCTTTATGCCATGTCAATGAATTGCATGCAAGCCGCTGAACAACAGTTCAACGCAGCAATAGTAGTAAGAACTATGATTTTTTTTTCAATTAATTAATTTATTTTTTATTTTAACCAATTGTTTTGTTTATTTTAGTATTCTCAAGAGAGGGATTTGTGGACGTTTGCAAATCTAAATCTTGGTATAGTTTATTTGAGAGGGAAACGTGAAGCAGAGTTCAATGCTCTTTTGGATCGGATCAATCCAGAAAATCTTCCTTCTCATTCACATAGTTTACGAGCCGCAGCGTACTATGTTCTAGGTTTACAATCGTTCTTCCAGTCTAGACACAATGAAGCCAAGTATGATTAGTTTTTATTTGTTTATTTATGTATAAATCTTTTTTTAATGTTGTTCTTTTTTCTTTAGACGTTTTTTGAGGGAGACATTGAAAATGGCAAATGCTGAAGATTCTAATAGGTTAACGTCATGTTCATTGGTCCTTCTTGGCCATATTTTCCTTTCGTTAGGGAACAGTAGAGAAAGTATGAATATGGTGACCCCTGCAATGCAACTGGCTAGTAAAATCCCAGATGTTCATGTACAGCTCTGGGCGTCGGCGATTTTAAGAGGTTCATTTTTTTTCTCAGCTTTCTTTTTCAAATTAAAAAAGGAAACATGGTAATAATTTTATTCTAAACAGATCTCTACAGAATGTGCGGAGATCCGAGGGAAAACGAAGCATTCCAGATGCATTGTAACTTTTCTCAAACTCTTCTTAAGGACCATTTTCAGTCGAGTCAAATGCCCGAACACAATCTTATATATTGGACTGAAGGAGATATTCCTGCATTACCACCACCATCGACGTCAGCACCACTGATGTAATATTGGCTGTAAGTTTTTTAATTGTTTATGACTTCCTATAAAAAAAAATCCTTATAGTTCTAGAATTAACCAATTTCACCAGCAAGAAAGACAAAGCTTTGCTGGTCTATGTGTATAAAAATATAATCAAATTTAGTGAAATATTTACATTTAAATATTTTATATTTACAGGTACATAGTAAAAGAAGCTATTATATTTCTATTTACAACCTACTTAAATGGTAAGATAACTGTTTCAGTTTTTAATTGTTTTATTGTTATTATATATTTTGTGGGTCACGATGAATGTGTAGTTTGTTTCCCAATTAATAGAAGCTGCCTCACTTAACAGACGTTTGCACACCCCAGCAAAAAATATAAGATTTCTACATATTTTAAAACTCCAAACCAGTCACAATACGAGTGGACATAAACAGTAAAAATATGTTTAATTTTTCCCCTTCTCACACATCTTGGCTCTCAGATTTATTTTATTACCCTACTTCATTTGACTTGCGTAAAATGAAAAGATCTATTTTAGGTGATTGTGTTTTATAAGGATAAGGAAAATTTTAAAGGATTTATCATGGTAAATGAATTAAGAATGCAACACAAGCATGAAATGCTTTAATCTATATTTAAAAAACAGACCAAGATATAATCCAAGCACTACCTAAGCTAACCTACTTCCTAACACTAAGCCAATTGTAACCCAACCCTACCTACGCTAAATTCAACCTAATACTGACTTAATTTTACCCCATCCTTTAACCTAAGCCAACCCTTTCCTAACACCAACCTAATTGTAATCCATCCCCCTTACCCTGCCTAAGCCAACACTAATGTAATTGTGACCTTACCCAGTCATAATACTAACCTAATTGGCTTAACCTGTCTTTAACTCTATCCTAATTGTTATTTAACCTAACCCATCCCAGACTTGACCTAACACTAATGTAAATGTGAACTAACTTGTTCATAATACTAACCTAATTGTAACTGCCTAACCTCTCTACCTATGCTAACACTAATATAATCCAATCCTTGCATAACTCTTCCCAAGCTTTACCTAACCTAAGCTATGTTTAACCCTAATGCTAAACCAACCCAGCATTTTTATATATATCTAACCACATTTAATATGTTTCTGCATATTTTATTTTCTTAGGTTAAAAAATGGACTGATATATACCAACTTTGAATTGCCAAACAATAGTAGAATTTTTTATTATTTAAATTACTTTTTATCAGCTCGTAGGGACCCATTGGCATAAACTTGGATCACTCTTCTAACATTTTTCGTCGGTTCAATAAAACAAAAGTAATAATAATAAAGTTACCTTGAAATCAGTTCCTCCATGTCCAGAGGCTCTTCTTGTTAGTTTAAAAAAATAAAGTGTCCATCCAATAAAGTGGCCATATACAAGTGCCCATTTTAGATTGCCCAGCTGAATCTCTCTTGAACTAATATGCTATCAAAAAAAAACAAAAAATACAGGTATTTTTTAGTCTAGTTTCAAATATTTACCTTTTTTGGAGAAAAATTATACAGGGTACCTCAGGCCCAGTTCAACTTCAAAATTTCAAATACGACCCTACAAAATGACTAAAAAATATTAAACACATATTTTTAATTTTTTTTTTTGATAGCATCATTGGCCAAGAAAAATTCAGCCAGGCCATATAAAAAGGTCCCCCTGTATACTTTCATTACGCCACTGATTTGTAAAGACTCCCAAGATAAGACATTTTTTTTTATTCCAAAAGGTCGAATAGAAAAATGGTCTTTACAGTAGTGTTGCCAAAGGGATACTAAGGCCTGTGACACTGATTCCCTGAGAAAGGGTGTTTTCTAGAAGGGGTATGTTGTTCTGGAACGACGTCTGTTTATGGGGAAGGGTTTAGAATCATTTCAGAACAACGGTCATAACAAATGTGTTAACCTTTTTTTTTTTCTTTCTTTTTTTTCCAGGTCGCCTAAACAGTGCAAACGATTAGGGATAGGGGCGAAGAAGAAGAAAAAATGGGAAACAACTCTCCATATCGAAGGAAACCATATTTAATATTTTTTATAACATATAGATATATAACATACGTAAGTTAACGATATGAATCTAGGTGTGAAAAAATTCACATTTGTTACATCATATTATATTTTATTTTTATATTAAAAATGTACAAATTTATTTATGAAGCGGCAAGAAAAAATGTAAAATATGAGGTAATTTTGTATTTAATAAGAAAAAGAAGAAAAAGTGTAAATTGTTATATGAGATTATTTTTAGAAAAAACTTGTTACGTCTGGAAGAGCTTTTAACTTAGTTAATGTTCTTACACGAATGTTAAGATAATAACTGTAATTCCATTAATGTCACTGAACATTTAAAAAAAAAAAAAATAGTTCTCTCTGGTGCATACATTAAAAATTTTAAGGAGTGGTCTGTGATACGTTTGGAATTTTTCTTATATTTGTGTTTTCAATCGAATTTGAAAATTGGCAGCGATTGATTGTTAAACTTCATTTTTCAAGAGAAAAAATTCTTTTTTCCAACTTTTTTTCTGACACTATGTTGTTAGCAAATAAGAAATTTTTAACTAAATGTTGACTTTAAGAGTGATATTCTTTATTTTAACTGAGTGATTTGGACCTTAGGTTGTGATTTTTTATTTATTAAATCTCTTAAACACTTGGGTTTTTAAGCCGAAAATTAGCTTAATTGTTTTGCACTAAACGCTTTCCGTTTGAAAAATCAAGTTTACTTTTTTTAGCTGCCAACGTTTTTTTTCTTCTTAATTTTTCTAAAAAAACTCCCATTTGTGGATAGAGCCTACATTTTGAAAAAACTCTCTGCAGATTGTATAAATTATTTTGTGATACATCCTACAATCAACATCTATCTACCTCGTATACATAAATCCTCCCAGGGGAAAAAAAGAAAACTCAAAATTTTACAAATAGCCAAGTAGGTAAAGAAAGCAAACAGAAAAAAAATCACGAATTTTAATTAATTAAATTTAACAAACGATGGACATAAAATCTGTTGTGGTTTATTGCTTTAAAAGAGATCTCATAAAACTATAAAAGGTCAAACACCAAAATTGTTATACACGTTTTGTTTTGTTAAGCACGACTCAAATATAAGTTGAAAAAAACGATATATTTCATGTTTCTCTTTAACCTGGCATTCAAAAATATAAAACGACAGAAAAAAATCTATAAAATGTTGTTTTTATTTATTTAATGTGCCAATGCTAAACTAACCAATTGTGAGATTTTTACACAGGGCGATGAACCTGTAATTTGGTCTTTACTGGTCAGCATTTCGCCATCTTTGTTTTGTTATCGGATCCATATGGTCTGCCTATTGCTGGTTCAGTCTATCAGATGCATTTCAAGTTTTTCGCCATCTCCAGTGGGTTTTTCTTATCCCAAATTTAGTTCTTGACCAACCTGGCAGAAAAATAGCAAGACATTCCAGCCCTAAATGCAAATGGCTACAAGTTCCTTAGCCTAACAAAACTGTAAACCGGTCGTCACCGATCATTTTGTTTCAGTCTGCACGTACGTGTGTATGTATAAAAAATATTTTCATCGCTTGTGTTGTTGAATAGTCCAATAATTAGTCAATAGAAAGTTGGAAAGATTATGAAAACGCCTAAAAAAATGTTTCACTGCTAATTCTACATTATCACATCAGAAGATGACGTTTACTAGGAAATACTTCAAAACAGTTTGTGTATTTAGAAAAGGAATATGAAGACAATGAACTTGAGTTATTTTTCTAAACTTTTTTTTAATGGAATATTAAAAACGAACTAGTCATTAATGTTTTATTACATCAACTAACTGTTATAAATTTTTGTGAGAATTACTGTATTGAAGCTTTTCCCCATTTTTTTTCTTTTTATACATATAAAAGTAAAATTGTAATGCAAACATTTTAATTTAAGAATTTTTTTTAATAAGAAAATGATATACAATAAATTATATTGACCACTGATATAAAACAAATATTTGTATTGTTTTTATGTTTGTGGCATTTTCTCTAGTCAGTTACTTTGTATAAAAAGTTTTTTACATTTGTATTGTATGTTGTTCAACTGCAGCATGGAATTTTCTTTATAAATAGAACGTTTTCAACATCATGAGTCCTCTTAACTGTTAATTACATTTTTATATCCAGTGAACTTTCCAACAATGCTTCATTAATAAAGAAAATTCCATGCTGCAGTGTAATAGTCAACATCATGCAATACAAAATACAATTATAAAATAAACAGCAAAAAATTTTAATTATTGTTTTATATATTGTTTATGCAACTGGAGCAAGATTCATCCCTCCCTCAAAGAATATAATCACAGATTTCAATTTTATCTCACTGAAGTACAGTTATAGATTATTTGGAGATGGTGAGATGCAGTCTGGTGTGATGTAGGTTTTAGATAAACATTTTATCGTGCCAATATTTCAATCTTTATTGAGATCAAACGTTGGCACGATAAAGAAAATGTTTTTTTAAAAGCTATGTCACACCAGACCCCATCTCTCTCACGATCTCCAAATAATCATTAACTAACAATCACTAAACACCACACGTTTCTACAGTTATAGAGTTGAATCGACCAGTTGGAAAGAGAAAAAAAAATTCTATTTTAAGTTGTCCATTATATGTTTACTGTCCAACCAGTTGCATTCATTTACTTATGGAAAATAGGTTCTTAAAGAAATGCCTTAATAATATTAGCGTTATTAAATGTCATGGAAAATTGAATTCAAGTTTTGTAATTTATTACAGGTTTTTATAAAATTAAATGTGTATTATTTCCTTTTTTTTTTGTTTCATAACACCGACAACAGTTGAAGTGATAATTTATTATGTTTAAATACTGTGCAAGAAGAGGTTGACTTGTATGATCAAAGGTCTGAGTTTATTGCATTTTTTCGCTAAGGTGAAGTTTTTCCTAATTTTCCAGGATAGTTAACATTAAGTGTATGTACACTAGGTTAAGTTAGGAAAGGTTAGAGTTGGGTTAGGAACAAGATGATCAGAGGTAAAGTATATCACATTTTCTCGCTAAGGCATGTGAACTTTTTCTGAGGCATATTTTGGCCCATCAGTTTTCATCTTATTGAGGGGTTAAGATTATAAGTAAAACGTTTGATCAGGAACAGGTTAGGTTAGAATTGGAGACAACTTAGTGAGTTTTTTCTTGTTTCTATTAAGCTTGTAGTTTGTACATTTTTGGACATACTTATCTCCCCATTCTTGCTGTTTTGGTGCACAGGTGTTGAGTTCGGTTAGGTTAGGTTAGGAAATGTTATACTTAGGAATTATTGGGTTGTCCGGAAAATAATGCAGGATTTTAAGTTTTCATTAAAAAAAATCTNATTTTGATTAAAGAACATTGCTTTAAAGTAACTAGTTTCTTTTTTTTTGTTTAATACCAAAATCCTGCATTATTTTCCGGACAACCCAATAGATTAAGTTAGAATAGATTTGTTATACGTTATTTTAGGAAAGGTTCGAATTAGCTTAGGACTTTTTAAATTCATCACATTTCCTTGCTTAGACATTCTTGCTAGGTTTGCAGGGTAGTTTACTTGTAGTTTGGAAGTTTTCGAAAATCCTCATCATGTTTATGTAGGACTGAATACACCTTTTTTTAATTATAATTTTTGAGCCATCAGTTTCATATTACTGCGGAGTGTGCATGGATTAAGGAAAGTTGAGAGGTTAAACATAAGGTTAGATTAGAGTTGGGGAGAGATGAGGTTAAGTTAGAATCAGGTTAGGTTAAATATAGGTAAGTCTGAAATTAGGGACGCAAAGGTTAGAGCTAAGAAGTTTAGTTAGGTTGGGTTCGGAATGGATGAGGATACATATCCATTCAACATTCTTCTGTTAATAATTGAAAATGCGATTCTGAAGGGCAAGGTTGCTTGAAAGGAACATGCTATATTTGATTCGTTGGTAAGGACTTTTTTCATTAATGGGGTAGAATTTAAACAAGCCAAATAAAGACACTTGCTAACCTATACTTAACCTAGCCCTAGTCTCCTCAGTATCCTTCCCAAAACACATCCAGTTGTTTTTTGTCCAAACTTTACTATTGATTTTCCTGGATTTTTTAAAATTTTTTATAAAGTGATAAAATTGTTCTAAGGACTATGTGTCATTATCTATTTAGCTTATGAATCACTTTCCTAGGTTCCATAGCCTTTTCTTAGCTATTGTAGGGCAGTTGCATAGTAGCTGAGTTGTCTCTGTTTCCTCTAGGAATAATAGATATTGGTCATCTGTTAATATGTACTCCCATCTTTTATGTGGTATTTTAATGGAGTATGTCCTGTAAATGTACCTATTAGGATTTTTGGTTCCTACCTAACCTAACCCATCCCAACCCTAACACACCTAACTTAACCTATTTTGCCCCTAACCTAAATTGCCCAGTGTCCAGCCCAAAACAGTATCCTTTAATTCTTTTGTGACCAAACTCTACTATGATTTAACCTGGAAGATTTCCGTTTCTTACAAAGGTAAAGAAATCTTCTGAGGGGTATGATGTCGAGTCTTCATTATTCTGAAATGGCTTACCTTAGTATCATAGCCTTTTCCAAGCTTTTCCTGAGCCATTGCTAAGTACGTTCTCTTGTTGCTGTCTCCTCTAGCCTTTTTTTTTTTTAAACTTTGGTCCTGAACAGGTCCATGATGGTTGGTATTTGGATTTGGTTTATATTACCATATATATATATATATATAGACACACACACACACACACACACACACACACACACACACACACACACATTATATATATATATATATATATATATATATATGTAGGGCTGTTGGGTGTCCCACTGAAGAATCCACCTGTCCTAACTTCTTTAAAAATAGCTCTGTTTTTGATAAACCTTGGTGCGGACTCGATAACTTAATTTTTATAGACAACCCACACCTACAATCTCATCCTAAATTCCTTCCTTTTGGATTGCTGGATTTTCAGGCATCAAGGCTGGTGTTCCTCAAGGGAGTATCCTTGAACTACTTCTCACATCCTGACTTGGTGGTGCATCAAGTTAAATGAGCAAAAAAGCCGTCATGTGACGTTTACACTTAGAAGAGGAATCTGCCCACCAGTGCATGCACATACATATTAAACCAAATTCACTATGTTGGAGTTCTACTTGGACAGCAGACTTGCGTGAAAGCAAAAAAGAAAAGAATTGAACCAAAGAAACGGACAACTCAGACTTGGATCCAAATCCACAATGAGTGCACACAACAAACTAAGCATATACAAGACACTAAATTAGACTGATTTGGTTTGACTTATGGAGTCGAGCTATGGGGCTCAGCCAAAGAATCCAGTACTTTCAATCAAAAGTCCTTTGCTGCAACCTTAACGCTCTCTTCTGTCACTAACCAAATCCACAAAAGACCTAGACATCCCATATGTGACAGACATGATCCAAACACGAATCTACAACTTCTGCTCCAACATCCTTCCTAATGATCTTTCACACTGCGTTAAAAGACTCCTTACCCAACCCTAAACTTTAACCAGCAATCCTGAACACTGAGAGTTCTAGCAATGCTCGTCTCTTACCCGCCCCATCCCAGTGGCCTGATAGGTTCCTACCAGATCTTTCACTAACAACATGTTAAATTTGTAATTTTTTTGTACTAACTACTTATTAATTACTAATATAAAAAAATTATAGATATATTTTATTTTAGAAGTTAGCGAAATAAGAGTTTTACAAGGTTCACATTCAACTCATGCCCCAGTACCATGGCCTCTGAGGTCCCAAAATTTAACGCTGCTAGACTTTTCCATTTGGGGCCATTTCAATCTGTAGTCTCCAAAACTCCTTTAGTTGACAACGATGATCATAAGGGGAAAATTATCACTGCAGATTGGAATGTTGTGATAGATGTAATTAAGAAAGTATTGTCCAAGAAAGCATAACCTGTTCCTTACCTTACAAAATCTAACCTGTCCCTTATTCCCTGTAAACTAACCTGTCCCTAACCCTGCATAACCTAGCATACCCCTTATCCTACCCTACTGAACTTAACCTAATTATGATGGATTAGAAACCACATTCATGGTTCCTTTTTTTTACAGAAAATTGTTATTCTTCACCAAATAGATCCAAGGTTCCTGGAGTGGTGTTTATTGTAACTGACCAACATGAAAGTGTTAGTAACTAATAAAACTCTTAATTAATTAAGTTTTAATAATAACTACCAGACCAACTGAAAAATTCTTGAAAAGTTATGTAGGGTGAATTTTTTTATTTTTATTAATAAATAAATAAAAATATTTCTGGAACTGATGAAACATCTAAAAACTGACTTCATAACGAGAATCAAAAAAAGATTTACCAAAATCAAGGAATTTAGGATGGTGGACATCTAGACATCTTCTGTGGAACACCCTGTATATACATATAAAATAAATAAAAAAGTACTCACATATTGTAACAAATATTATATTAGTCAGTTTTTTATAAATCTAAAAAATTATTATTTATATTCATTATGTTTAGTGGTCTATTGACCAAATTAATTCTTTCAATTAATTATTCTTATGTAAGGTCTTTATTGAAATTATTTATATTAATGAACAGGTGCAACAGGTTGACATATACACTAGTAGTTTTCTAGATGAGCAAAAGTATATTTATTAACGTAACAAGTTTACAAGAGATGCAAATTTAATGAAAATTATGTCATGGAATTTAAAGAAATAGATTTTTTAATAATGACATAATAAAAATAATAATAAACCTTTTAAATTAAATAACCCTGTTTTATAGCTGTAAACAGAGACTTTTTGTGCTTTGGAAAATCTGGAGTCTTCCAGCATTCTGTAACATAAAATTTAAAAAAAAAAGTTTGAAAAGTACAAATTTGATTCAAAGCATATACAAATAATTTGTTGGAGTCGTGAGGAGCGCAGTCACGAATGAAGTAGTTTAGAGAAACACCTTTTTCTTTTTTTTTTACGTTTCGACTTTTATTCAGGTCATCTTCAGGGTATAAAGTGTGGTGCTGTTCTTGTGGTGTCATATTTGTTTTGTGTGAAATTGTTGTAATAGGATATACAAATATTGGAATTTTTTTATACTCAATTGGAGGCATCTACTAATTACAGTCGAAATACTATTCACTTTCTTTTCTAGTGAGGGCATGGGTACTTTAGGCATCAAAGAGGATTGCAAGGAAGAAGAGAAGAGAGAGTGAAGGTTATTTGGTTGGATTTAATTTTGTCAAGTCTAATCCTCTATTTCTTGAACTTCAAGCAGGACAGACAATTCAGGTTTTTTCTACTTAGTCTGGTAGTTCAAAGTAAGTCCCAAATAACAGCTGTTGGTAGTAGAGAAGTAAATAAAATAAATAAATGTTCTAAAGTAACAAGTCAGATCACTTTCAAACAGTACTTACCTTGATGCAATTAAATTTTCTTAGTGCAATGTTTTCTCTAAGTAAAAGTTGTTTTGAAGGTACCATATATCTAAATATACCATAAATCTAAATATAATTATGATGACAGACATCTTACTTCGTGCAACATACAACATTCCAAGGTGGTGATTTAAGACGTAACTCAAACCGACCCAAGAGCACTCCACTGGTAATGCAAAACCAATGACAAAAATTTGTGTATCTATCTCCAAAAAATATCTTTCTTTAAAAAGCATATCATAGTTTCATCTTTCTATCTCACATTTCATCCTACAGTGATACTATAACATACCATTTAGACTTTTTTCAGGTTTATTGTTTAAATTGACCTAATCCTGCCAGACCTATTTCTTCCGCACTCTTCCAATGAATAACAAAAAATTGTAATATTATATAATTTAAACTTTTTTATCACCATTATTGTTTGTTTATTTAATGATTTAAACCAACATGACCCTTCCTAACTAACCTAACCTAACATGTCCCTTATGTCCACAACAAGAACAAAATTCAATATTATAGCATATCATTTAAACTTTTTTTTTCAACTTTACTGTATATTTAATGATTTAAATAAACCTATCCCTTACCATACATAGCCAAGTCTGTCTCTAACCCTACCTAACCTGACCTTAATCCTGCCAAACCTAATCTGTCCCTTACACTCCTGACTAAAAACAAAAAATTTGCAATATTATATCATTTAAACTTTTTTCTCTCACCATTATTGTTTATTTAATGATTTAAACTAACCTGTCTCTTACACTATATAACCAACTCTATCTCTAACCTTACCTAACCTGACCCTAATCCTGCTAAACCTAATCTGTACCTTACTCTCCCAATGAAAAACACAACAATTTGCAGTATTATATCATTTAAACTTTTTTCTCATCATTATTGTTTATTTAATAACTGAATTAACCTGCCCCTAATCCTACGTAACCTAGCCTGTTCCTTACTCTCCCAATGGAAAAAAATTGCAATATTATAATACAACATTTAAAATGTTTTTCAACTGTTGTTCATTTAATGATTTATGTGCTATACACTCACATATATAAAAACTCATTGTTAATATTCATTCAGCATGCAATCGAATAACTAACAGGCAAAACATGCATGGGAACTTTAGCTTTAAGTACCAACCATAAAATATTAACTCATACTTACTTTTTTTGGAATTAGGAATTTGGTTATCACAGATGAAAAACAAAAAAGCTTAGTTTAATAATGCACATTTAATAATAACTTAATTATCGAACAGTGTTATTTACAATATACAAAATGCCAAGACAAAAACAATGAGTATTTATTAGGTAAATAGAAAAACGGTTATTAGAAATATTTTCATTATACTCAATGAATACAACACATAAATTCCTGGGAGGAAATTGACTATTTGATTATATTACTGTACAACTTAAGGCAGATTGTGTATTTTTTTATGCTATTTTATTTTTTGTTGTAAAAATAGATAATTGGCACTGTTATTCCTGATACAGTTTCCTAAATTTGTTCATAAAATTTAATTGGGTAATAAAAAAAGGAGAAATCCAAGGATAAAAAAATAAGTTTTGATTATTTTATAAGAAGCTTTTAAAATATTCACCATTACTATGATTTAGCATTCTAATATTTTACTTTTATATTTTAATTATTTAAAACTATTAAAATTAAATNTTTTTTTTTTTTTTTTTTTTTTTTATTGTACCACTTCTTTCTGTCAATAAGAACAATCCTAATTAACTACATTAACGATTATTTTATGTATAAATATTATAAAATATGATTACTAACCCTTTTCCTTTGACTATTAACAATGCTGTATTTGGCTGATTGTTACTATTGATTTTTACTTAATATATATGTACTTTTAAAAAATCAGATCTATGATACTTGTGAAACACTCATGTTTGGGGCTTTTTTTAAATAAATAGTTGTGGTCATCAACAAATAGAGAGACTTCATTGCTGTATCATTTCTTTTTGTTTCACATCATCCAATTTTTAATTAATTGGTTATTTTTTAATTAAAACAAAAATGACTAGCAATCATAAAATGGTATAAGATTAAAGTTTGACCATTAGTCTGTGAGTCAAATGTGATGAGGAACGAATTGTTTACAAATAATAAATTTGGACAAAAAGGAGGAAACTGTCCATTACACAACTACTGAGTCGGCAAATAAGTTCATAAATTATATAGAAAAATTATTTAACCTGTTAATCAATATCATGAAAAAGTAAAGGTTTCAAGTTCAATATTTCAGGCAGAATAATTAATGCTTGGGCGGGGTAGTAAAGTTGTTCGTTATGAGGTGGCTCATCAACAAAATGTCCAGAGCTAATCCGAACGAAGTAGTCTTTCATCACGAAAAAACGGGACTCCAGACATCTTCAATGACCCGGAGTGAATTATGAAAGGCTTTCGTATTCACCGGACTTGGTTTCAATTACTATGGACGAGAAAATCTTCGTTAATGAGTAGACTGTCCAAAAACATCTTGAACTTATTTGCCAGCCCAATACAATAACAGCAATTATATTTAAAAAAAATAATTATTAAATAAAAGCAACTAACAACCCCTTAGTTTTGAAAATAAGGGAATAATTGCTAACATAAAAAGAAATATTTCAGGTACATCAGAAATTTGTCAACAAAAAAATAAATTACGTTGCTACATTATCGTGTCTTTTTTTCTTTTCTGTGACTATTTCCTCCGTGCGTTAAAAGAGCAACGGGTATTTTTATATATATTTTCTATGACCATGTGGTTTGAAACACTTGTCAACAAGTGTTAACAAATTAAACACTAAAACCAATGTCAATGCAGGTTCTAATATTATTAGGAAATATCCAATCACCACTATATATAGCCTAAGTAGTAGTTTTACACTATATAATAACTATTTCACCTCGGTCAAACTTCTCAATCACACACTGAAGGACTTCCTGACGCTACAATAAATTATGTAAAGAAGATTAGTGTTTATTAAACTAAATACACATTTAGCATTCAATTTAATTAATCTTAACACAAATGAAAACAATTAAGAGTAGTATTGTCTTGAGAAATAATGGAATGATGAAAGGAATCACATTTTTCTGTTAAACAAACTGTTATAAATTATTTAAATTTAAAAATAAAAAAACTTTAGTTGGCAGAAGCTATTTATTTAGTTTAACTGGTTTTGAAATTGCTAGTACAGTCAACTCTCGATAAGTAACATAACCTAACTTACCCCATGGGCAATTCCAAGCTTATAAAAAGGCTTGACTTCACAGAATCATTTTAAGTCTGTCCATCCTCACTCGGTTGGGGTTTCAAGCATTTCAGCATTTTTAGCAACATAAGTGTACTTAAATTTAGGATAAATGGGTAGGCACATTGAGTAAACTGAATAGGATAACTGGATGGTGGTTATATTTCTGACATAAAATGCACACGTTTTGAGCTGTTGTAACAATAGAAAAATTCACACTTCCCACTCACATATTTTCTCAGATTTACAGAAAAACAAAAGTAACCATTCCTAACCTAACCCTACATAACCTAGCCCAACCCTTACCCTACTAACCTAATCCTAACCTAACCCATGTGCACCATCACCAGTAAAATAGGGGGAAATTGTGTACCCAGCTCAAAAAAGTATTTATAAACCTAATCTAACATGTTCCTTCCTTACCATACCTAACCTAATCTTTACCCTACCTAACCTAACTTATATCTTACCATACTTAAGCTGACTTTTACCCTACCTAACCTAACCTGTCTTTAACATTAACTCAACCCATGTGCACTCACTGGTAAAATGAAAAAATTTTGTCTATCCAGCCCACAAATATGTTCATAAGCCTAAAATAACCTGTCCTCTCCTTTACCCTACCTAACCTAACGTAACCTGTCCCTTACCATACCAAACCTAACCTGTCCCTTACCATACCCAACCTAACCTAATTTTGGTGGGGATGACAAGCGTAAAATATACCCAATGGGCCTGTGCGAATTGAACCCACGACCGTAGGGTCTACGAATCAAGTCTGACACGCTGACCACTCAGCTACCACAGTCTACTCAGAAAGGCTCAACATTAAATAAATCACATAGACCCAACCATGAATAAGATGAGTCAAGTTCCTTAGAAGTAGTAGACCTGAGGCACACAAACCAAGGACTCAGTCAAGCAGCAACATTCAGCCAGGGAGTAAGACATTATGCCAAGTTGAATAGAGTAGAGTGTCAAGGCTACAGGAATCTGCGAGACGATCCTGGAGGCACCAAAGGATGTGGAAGCGGTGTTGGCAATCATCATTTGGCTAAGTTCTCTTATAAATAAGCTCATCCCTGGAGTTAGAGTTGTGGCTTGCTTTGACCGTTGGATAGTAACAATCTGAAGACCATCCAGTGTCGAAATATAACATTTCTGAATACTATCTCTCTGGTTTATTGTATTTTTGAACCTTTCTCCACATGAAAAGTAGTTAAACGCATATGCTGAATTTCTTATCGCTTAACGTACATACAGCGTTAGTGCCCGCCTACAATGTAAATAAAGAAACAATGGATCTAGAAGGTTATTTGATAAAAATTGGTACCAACCAACTTGGATTTTGATAAGAGTCAGAACAGGCCCCACCACACATGTTAACTGTGTACATCAGCAGAAGAAATATGTAATAAGTACAGAGAGGAGGAGTGTAGAAAAACATTTCAATTTGTTGAAAGTTGACCATATTTTTAAAAATCATAAAATATTTGTTTATATTTTTTGTCAATTAAATTCCTTACATGCAATCAACGTTTTTCTTTCCTGTCTATTTATTACACTATAAATAAATTTAATGGGGGGGGAATTAGCAGGAACTGTCATCCTTGATAGGAAACCTGTCATACTTTATTTGTACCACTGTTTGTTTTATTTCAAGAACAATAATAAAAGTCAGCAATTAAGCAATATTTTTTTTAATTAATTAATTAATTTATTTATTTATTTTAATGCAGCGCTGTATATAGATTTATATTTTCTATGATAAATCCAATCTCATTAATTAATTAAAACGTTAATTAAATCTTAAAAATGCAGTTTTGAATTTTTTCTTTTTAAATGTACGGTATTTATATTATATAGATTACACAACAAACACATGCATCCACAGACAAACACAATGAAACCATCTTCAGTGAGATTTTTACCCCATTTTTTAATTTTTAATTTTTTTTATTTTAAGAATTAACAGTTATCACATGAATAAAGCATGCATTATTTTGAAATCATTGAGATTTCTTTGCTGTATGAAGTTTGTCCTATATTTTGTGTTTCTGGTACGATTCTGATCCAAACTGGCCAAAAAACCAACTTCAGACAAGTATAATTAAAATTAAAATTGGACGTATAAATTTACTATGTAATTTTTTTTATTAATTAATAGATAGTATAAAAATAATTTAATTGTAGTTACAATATAATCTTTTAAAAAATTATGCTCCAATACAATTACAAAATTTGATCAATTATAATCAAAAGATCAATGATAAGTAAAAATGAGAATATGAAAACTAAAATCAATCTTTTTTTATACATATAAAAAAATTACTACAGCAGTTATAAATGATTTTTTTTTTCCATTTTTATTTCTTCGACTTTAGATTTAAATTACGAGGAAGCATTATACATACAATCTTGAGAGAGCTTAAATTCAAGTCCTTTATAATTTCCTTTTTATATTCTAATTTAACACAATGTTTTCTCTTGTCATCTTCTTACTTCCCTTTATCTTTTTTTGACTTCCCGATTACCATTCCCCTTGTCCTGATTCAATCGTAGGTAAAAAAATTTGATTAGCTTTATGAAATTTAACTTTAATTTTAATTTAATTCTCCCGGCATGCTGTAGTGAATTACAATAAACGGCAGCAAATTTAAATTAAAACAACATAATTCATCCCGTGTTAAAACCATTTACTAAGATTTGTAACATACCAGTCATATCGCCTTTAAAAACTGCTTTCATTATAAACGATTTAAATGTATTGTATGCCTCTTCCAATTCGTTGTTGATAATAATAGTGTGGAAATTGCCCTCAGATTCACCTGAAAAAAAAAAAAAGATTACAGGGCAAGGTTAAATCGAAAAGAATTTAATAATATAGATAAGTCGAGTCATATCACACTTCTGACCCATAAATCATTTTATTTATCTGTTTATTTTATAGTTACGCATGTGCAATCTCTTTAAATGGAATAGGGGAAAAAACTAATAACGTAAATGGATGTACTAATGTAAATTAATAAATAGATAATGTGTTACTTTAACTGTAAAAGCCCAAATTATATATTAACCTTATTTTATATCCAAACCTTGGAAAGTACTCTTCCATTTAGTCATTTGAGCATTTTGCCCCATAGACAGGAGAAATATCAACCAAACATTGTGATAATATGCACAACATAGCATATGTCAAATATTGCCCCTAATAGCCCAACTGCTAATTTTATCAAGGGATAATTCTCTTGTATTGCAAACTTTCGTCTACTATGTCCAAACTTTACTATGAATTTTACTCAAATATTTCAGTTTCTTTGATAAAATCTAGAGTTCCCTCTCAATGTATGTCGTATGGTATCAAACATGGATGTTTTTTGGCTAGATACTTTATTTTATTTTTTATATTTATTTTTTTTTGCATGACTATTTTTGCATCATTTTGCGTTACTGGGGTGTGTGTATGGATAGTGTTAGGTTAGGTTATAATGAGGGTTAGATTATGAACGGAGGGGCTAGATAGGGTAAGACTGGTAGGAAGGTTAGGGTTAGAGTTAGGTTAAGAATAGTTAAGTAGGGTTAGGATTAGGAATAATTAGGTTTGGAAGGGTTAGGGCAAGTTAGGCTCAGTAGGATTAGGTTACATATCAATGAGCCAATGTCTTATGGAGAAAATATGCAAGTAAGAATCGTTTTTGTCCAAGTAGAATCCGCTATATTTTCCTCTACAACTAGAATTGAGTCCCAATAGGTAAAGCAGGTTTTAATGGATTCATGAACTCCAGTAAAAAGTAATATAACTTACCATACTCAATCTCCCCTTTGGCAACATTTAGTCTTCGCTTCAGGCTTTCTTCTGTTTCGGTCCCACGTGCTTTAAGACGTTCTTCCAAAACTTCAAGAGAAGGTGGTTTAATGAAGACTAAAATAACATCAAGGTCTTTTTGTTTGACCTGTTTGACACCTTCGGTTTCGATGTCTAGTATACATACTTTCCCTTCATCACAGACTTTTTGTACTGAGTCAATGCTGAAAAAAAATAAAAACAGGAATAAATGAACTCCTGTTTTTATAGTCAAATTTTCAATTTAAATTCAATTTATATTCTTTTTTTACATACAAGATACAATTTAATAAATCAAGAGGTTTAACGGCACTTTTAAATTAGATTGCAAGACATACCTCGTGCCATAAGTATTTCCAGAAAAGCTGGCAGTCTCTAGAAATTTGCCATGACGAATCCCTTCCTCGATTTGCTCTTTGGTTGTAAAGTAATAGTGCAGCCCGTCGATTTCACCCGGACGTGGCTTACGGGTCGTATGAGACACCGAAAAGCCAAACTTGTCCGGGTATTCCTTGAAAAGCCTCTGGATCAAGGTCGACTTGCCAGACCCTGATGGGCCGCATACAACAAGCAGTTTACATTTATTGCGCCCCATCACTGTTAGGCCTGTAAGAAAAGGAGAAAATCAGAATCAAGCGGTATCAAAAGCAATACCATGAAAATCAGGGGATAGATAATTTTAATCTACAACATGCATTAAGATACGAACAATAGACTAAACGTAATGCAAAGCAATAACTGTTAACCCTCCTTTCTGCCTGATTACCTTTTAAAAAACCAATCACCATGAAAATTAGTAATCAATTTATTCACAGATTCCGGGGATATAAAGAATTAAAACCTGATCTTAAAAGAAGACAACATAAAATTCTAGAAAGAATTAAAAATAAATAAAATGTCTATAATGATACCTGACAAAAACCAGAGAAAAGTTCGACTTTGTCAGATGGTTCCAAGTGCACCAAGGCACCGAGGAAAGTTTCAGTGGTCACTTCCACCTATATAGATCGGAGATGAAGAAAAAGTTGGAATCCTTATTTGACCTCCCAATTTATGTCCAATTAAATAAGATATCAAATTTATTGTTTTTTTTACTGCTAACTATTTATCTTTCGAAAGAAAGATTATTACATTACGGAGAAAAAAAAAAAAACGCTTACAAATCATGATACTATAAATTAGTGAACAACCGGAAAAGAATTTCCTTCTTAAGATAAGAGCTTCGATAAATAATCGAGAAAATAATTCGTCATAACGATCGTTTTTTACTTCCACCATATTATACAAAATGGTTAATTTTTTGTATGGTGAATTAAGGTTTAATTATAATGAATTAATAATGAATGGAAATTAATCATTTTGATTATAATTTGTCTGCAGGTTGACTGGAAAACTCAAATACATCACATGAGCGTGGAAAAAATGTTTTTACTGATTTCACATTAGATAAATAATAGCTGACACTTATCTTTTTATTTATTATTGTCTAGTAATATTTATTAATGATATTGTGTAGGATTTTTTCTTCTCTTCTAATGATGTTTTACAGATAATGTAGAAGAATTAATTATCCGTGGTTTTAATTATCTTGGTATCAAATTAACCATGAGTTCTTTGAGCCATGATAATAGTTTTGGTCTGCCCTGTAGAATATTTCGACATCTTCAGTGTTATTATGACATTTATGTGGAGTCGAGTCTTTTTAATAATCTTAATTATGCATGGGTGAGGCAGGCCCTATTCACTGATGAGATGAGGTCGCCCTTAACAGAGCAAATGGATGAGTGTCGAGAGCAGACCTGGAGAACGACAGTAGCTGCACGAGGAAACAGTGTCATTTGGATTAAGGGTCTTCTAAGGAGGCATTTCTTGGAAGGCACCGATTTACAAATCCAAGGGTCCTTAAAGGGGGTTAAGATATGTAGATGTTAAAAGTCTACAAATAGTGCCTTTTATGCCTTTGATAGGCATCGTGTGTCTCTCAGTATGCGAACACCACAGATATCCAAATCCTTGAGAGGCCGGCAAGAAGTCCGACCTTATAACCCAGTCAATGCATTTGGTATCCCAAAACAAAGGTTCGCGGTCACGAGATCAATTTTCCCTACAACCCTTGAAATGCTAAATTGTTTATTTTGTATAAACAAAAATTTCAGGGTGATACGATTTATATATANTTTTTTAAGGAGAACATATAAATTAAAAAATTAAGTGTTTTCTGTCTTAATTATCTAACATATTTGGATGTATAAAACATTATCATTTCATCATTGCCCTCCCCATCCTCATGATATTACTCCAGGTAATGTAGGTTCTACTGTATACAAGTTTTAAATTATATTTATTTTTAAAATATATTTTGTACAGACCTATGAATAATTTTTAGTATTGAAAATGTTCCACTCTTTGCGCCGACCAGCCTGTAAAGCAAGAAGAAAATTCACATAAATCTATCATGCAAATATACAAATGATTCATTCACCAAGGAAAAAGACCTAAAATGAATAATTTATTAGATTTTATAAGGTTTCCAGAACGCAAGTTATCAATCAGCACAGTTTAGTTTATTTTTTAATCTCTAAATGTTATTTATTTATTTTTTGTGATCTTAACGGTTCTTATTGGGATGAGTTATCTGACCATTTTTGGTCTTGTTATCATAGCTGGGTTGACCCAGTTAGATGCATTTCTGGCATTTCCCCACCTTCAGTGTTGGTTTACGTAAAGTCGAGTTATGGTGGCTGCGGTAGTTGAGTGGTCAGCATGTCATACTGCTTGTAGTCCCCATAGTCATTGATGCATCATAGTACCTTGGTAGAAACACATAGAAACCTTTCTATTTTCACCCAAAAATTAGGCAGGTTAGGTATGGTAAGGGTCAGGTTAAGTTAGGCATGATAAGGGACTGGTTAAGTTAAGGTAGCGCATAGGATAGGATCGATTAGGTAAAGTAAGGTAAGAGGCAGGTTAGGTTATGTAAGGGACAGGATAGATAAGATAGGGTTAGGGATTATGTTAAATCATACAATAAACAATAAATTTAAAAAATCTAAATGATATGTTATATCATTTTTGGATTAAATCTGACGTTGAAAGATTAAAACAAACTATGGTATAGTTTTCTTAACATGAATATGTTGTGGGCTGCACTCACTCATAGAACCCATGGTCGTGGGCTCAATTCACATAATTGCTCCTGGTACTTTTTTTCATGTTCCCCCATGAAATCCCAATTAGGGGGATAGGGTAAGAAACGGAGTAGGTCATGTTTACATATATATTTGTGGGCTGGATAAACATTTTTTTTTTCATTTTACCATTGAATGCACATGGATTAGGTTAAGGTTGGGGACAGGTTAGGTCACGTAGGGTAACAGGTTAGATTACATCATAAAATAAAGGATTGGCAAAAATAAACTTGACTTTGAAGAGAGAGAGAGGAAAGGGGAAGAAAAGAAAAAAAACTGACCCAACGCTAAAAATGGCCAACTACTGAATCACATCACATCTGACAAACAAGGATACTGATTAATATGAACACAATTCTGTTCACACAAGTGTACAGAATCAAACCTATTTTTAGAGAGAAGAGAGTTCAAGCGCATGACAAGAGTTCACAGAGGACAAAAGTAACTACTCTGAAAAATTGGTCCAGATAAGGAGGTAGAACCAATCCATATATCTTCCTTCATCTTGTCCTTCTTTTCAAACAATACACTAAACTCCCTTAACCTTATCCCAGATTTCCAGTTCAGCTTTCATCACAAATCCCCATCCATGCTCTTAAGGAATGGAAGGATTGAATTACTTTGAGTATTAATGTGCTCGGGCAAATCCTGTACCTAATCTACACCTAGATTTGACACAGCTTCGTAAGAGCTCCAGCCTGGCATGTTGCAAATAGTCAAATGGAGTAAACTCTGGTGTAGAACAGTGAATGCAAATGCATCCAAATTACTACAAAATCCGTCATACTCCTACTCCGAAAATTGAATGTGTAAGCTTTGATTCTTTCTTGACCCATATACAACTAGGGAATAGCACACAAGAACAAAAAGACAATAATTAAACAAGATGCTACATACTATATAAATTATTATCAAGACCCATGGTCCAAAGCAAAACTCACTCTTACAATCCAGTCAGCCGATTGTAGCAAAAATGACCGTGGGATGTTCTAAGAATAAAATATTAAACTATTGAGAAAAGCTGAGAGCAGACTTCATGATATAGCAATGTCAACTAAGAAAAAGCTTTCTTTTTATAACATGTTTATTTTAGTTAATAACATGCGAGTGCGTATAATTAAACTGTATATTTTGTTATCGCTGGCTGTCTCCAAACACTCGAATCTGTGCTTAATTGTAAATACAGTAATTCGTTGTTATCAGATTGTAAATCAATGTTCTTGTTTACATATACAATTTAATCTCATTATTAAAAATTCCTTTTTCTTTTGAAAGTATGAGAAAAAAGTTATTTGTAAATGTAACATTTATCCTCCCCCAGACGTGGTAGCCAAGTAATAAGATTCTCGGCACATAGACCCCACAGTCGTGGGCTCAATTCCCACCACCGCCCCTGCCTTTTTTTCATGCAACCCTTAAAAAAATATAAAAAAAATAAAAAAGATGCAATTTTCATAGTTCATTCAAATGCTGGGTCTTGAAATTGATGACAATGAAGAAAATGAAAAAGCCTAATGCATAGAAACATGCATCTCAATCCTAAAGTGAACAAACCTCCCAGAGTGCAGCAATGCATACTCATTTCGGACCGATACTGGCGTCCCACAAGGGAGCATTCTAAACCATTAACTTTTTCTTCCGAACTGAATCCCACCCAAGCAATTTCCAATATCCAAGAAAACCTTGAATTTACCTAAGACCAGTAATATATCTTAATATTATTACTTAAATGGTTATTTTTGTGTAAATTAGGTTAAATGAGATGGATTTATGTGATGATAAACTATATGGATGAAATGATAACTATATGGAGATTACAATTGTAATTTAAGAATGGATGGGTGGTAGATATCGTCCATTCTGCTATGGTAAACTCATAAATTCATCATTATTGAAGCCACAATTTTTAATGTTGTAAGTGAATTTTTACATTTGTTAACTGTGAAATCATAAGAAATATTAAAGTACTGATAAAAAATTATTACTTGAATGATGGCCGAAGGAACAGGGCATTTTTTGATGGCAGTGCACAAGGGAGCATTCTAAGCCCTGTACTGTATACCATTTATACCACTAAGCAACTACCAACATCCAAGAAAACCTCGAATTTATCAAAGACTGGTAATATATGTGAATATTATTACTTACATAGAATGGAAGGGTGCTAGTCATCCATTATCCTACGTATGTTAAACTCATATAGTCGTTATTAATGAAGGCATAATTTTTAATATTGTAAGAAATTTGTTAACCATTAATCATTAGAAAAAATTTCGAAGTCCTGATGGAAGGATATTACCGCCGAAAGATGGCCAAAGTAATTGAGCATTGGCATTGCACAAAGGAGTATTTTAAGTCCCATCCGGTACACTATTTATACTGCTTTCTTACACAGTACTATTATTAAAAGGTGCGGATGATAATTATTCTAACCCCGAATTCTTTCCAAGCAACCCACAACATCCAGAGATCCAAGAACCCTTGTTTTTTTAACCAAAAACTGGCGCAAAAAGTCTGACACGACTGAATGAGAAAAACAGTCTTTGCAATCCGCTGGAGCTACTGACTTCCACTCGTCACATACTTAGGTCTATATGTATCTGGTCAACAGACTGACATGGAATCCCCCTACAAGACAACAGACAAATACAAAGAGTTTGAGGACCTAAATTTGTTTTGACTGTCAACAAGTAACTAACTGTACGCAAGACATTATTGCGATGACTTTGGATAGGAGTGAACCATGTGGTTCCAAGCCATCCAATCCTTCCAACTCAACGAACTGATCCCCACTTTAAAATTTTCCAAACGAAGCTTTCATCCATCATGACCCTACTGCCCTTATTTACGCTTTTCCATCCTGAGAGCTACATTGCCTTAAAAACCTCAAGAACCTCCTCGCGACTTAATCCCTCATATTGGGCGGCAACATTGGCTTGTTTATCATAATAAGTGTCCTGCGAATGCACCAGGAGAAAAACAAATCGCATAAGCACTTTGTAATATGTATTTTGAAACGTACAGGATATGAATAAATAAATAAACATGCACTGCCATGCAACGTGTACAAAGAAACTTCATGAGTCAGATGAATAGATCTTGAGGTGATTTTTTTCTTGTATTGTAATTGCAATTTTGTTGTTTTGCAATATATTTTAGGTGATTTTGGTGCAAAAAAAATTGTGCTGATTGATAATAAAAAGGAGCAATCCATAATTATGTAAAACGTCAATAGATTTTAAAGCTGCATACTGAAGCGATATCAAGCTTACAATCAAGCAGGAGCTTATAAGAAATTTAAAAAATGTAATATATAAAAAATACAAACGTCTTAATTGATGTAATAACGAAAACGTTTTGTAGTTGTAGAAAACAAAATAAAAAAAATGTCAAATATGCAACGTGCTATCCCAGATGAAAAACCTGAAAACTGTCGGTTTCCTGTCTTAAAAAATATATTTTCGTTATGAAATAATATGGATTAGGAAAGGGGCAAACCTTATTTTATGTATTTTGAGCCTCACGAGGTATTGTTTTCTTTGAAGCACGAGGCACACGAGGATGAACGGTGACGTGAAGAGCGAAGTGACAGGGGGTGATCCACACGGCTGTCGTTTTCTGTTGGTTTTTCTTAATTGGTGGATGTTTTTTCAGAATGAAGAAAAATGGGTCCCAGCACAAGCTCTGCACCGCTCCGCCTTCAAAAGACAACTGCGATTCAAAAGATAAAGCCGTTCAGCGGCGAACTAGTTCACTGTGGAGATGAACGAGTCAATGGGGAAGAACGGTTCATTGTCATTGTTCCACGCGGAACCAATGAAATTTCAGGTTCAACCAACATTCCATCGACACGTTTGAATATTCCTCCACCTCCATGATTTATGTTCCGATTTTCTTACAAGACTAAATTATTGATTCGTAATAAATTATTTAATTGACTAATTATTTATGGATCAACCCCAGTAACAATTACACATCTTATAAATTTCTAAAAACACAATGTTTATAAGTTTCTAATATTCAATTCAAAACGATGAACGGTTCATTTCATTATCCCATGCTGAAGAAATTGAAAGTTCACATTTAACCACCAATCAATTGACACTCTTGAATTTTCCTCCACTTTCTTGATTTCTGTTCTAATATTCATACAAGAATAAAGCAAATAAATAGAATTTACAAACATTGTAAATAGCACATAGAAATAAAATTTGAAAAAGGAACCAAAATTGCATGAATATTTATTAATTATTTATGGGTCAACCCCAGTAACAATTACACATCTTATAAATGTCTAAAAACGCAATGTTTATAAATGTATATATACAATTCAAAACGTAGAAGGGTCCATTATCAGTGTCCCACGAAGAACCAAGTGAAAATTCAGGTTCAGCCAACATTCATTCGACATGTTTGACTCTGCCTCCACCTCCAAGATTTATGTTCCAATATTCTTACAAGAATAAATTATTTAATTTATTAATTATTTATGGGTAAACCCCAGTAACAATTACACATCTTATCAATTTCTAAAAACACAATCTTTGTAAGTTTCTAATATACAATTCAAAATGAAGAACAGTTCATTGTCAGGCAATTGAAAGTTCAGGTTTAACCATCAATCAATCAACATGCTTGAATATTCCTCCACCTCCATAATTTATGTTCCAATATTCTTACAAAAAAAAGCAAATAAATAGAATTTACAAAATTCATAAATGGAACATAGAAAAAAACGTCGAAAAAAGAACAAAAATTACGTACATATTTATTAATTATTTATGGGTCAACCCCAGTAACAATTACACTTCTTATAATTTTCTAAAAACACAATCTTTATAAGTTTCTACTATAAAATTTGAAATTAAGAACAGTTCAATGTATGTGTCCCACATGGAACCAAGTGAAAATTCAGGTTCAACAATAATATTCAATCGACACGTTTGAATATTCCTGCACCTCCATGATTTAGGTTCCGATATTCTTATGTAGAAGAATAAATTGTTTATTCAAAATAAATTATTTAATTTATTAATTATTTATGGGTAAACCTCAGTAACAATTACACATATTACAAATTTCAAAAAATATGTTTATAAGTTTCTAATATATAATTCAAAGAGAAGAATGATTCATTGTCATTCATAATAAATTATTTAATTAATTATTATTTATGGGTAAACCCCAGTAACAATTACACATCTTACAAATTTCAAAAAATATGTTTGTAAGTTTCAAATAAATAATTCAAAACGAAAAATGATTCATTGTCAGTGTCCCATGCTGAAGAAAATGATAGTTCAGGTTTAACCACGCATCAGTCGATATGCTTGAATTTTCTTTCAGTTCCTTGATATCCTTCTTACAAGAATAAAGCAAATAAATAGAATTGAGAAAAATCATAATTAGCACATAGGAAAAACAAATTGAAAAAGGAAAAATATTACATGAATATTTATTATTTATTTGGAGGCAAATCCAGTTACAATTATACATCTTATAAATTTTGAAAAACATAATCTTTAAAGTTTTCTAATATACAATTCCAAATGAAGAATGGTTCATTGTCAGAGTTGTTGAACAATTGAAGATTCAAGTTTCACCACCATTGACCACACATGTTTGGATATTCCTCCACCTCTTGGATTTCTTTTTCAGTATTATAGTAGCTATAATCACACATAGAAAAAAAGGAACAAAAAATTACATGAATATTTATGAATTATTTACAAGTAAAAGCCCATTTTCAATTATATAACTTATTAATTTTGAATTATCATTTTAAAAACTCAATGCTTTTAAGTTTTATCAATTAAAGATTCAGTTTCACTACTGTTCAATGACTACATTTTGAATATGGTTTGAATATTCCTCCACCTCCTGTATCTCTATTCCTAAATTCTTCTTTATACTGACAAACGGTATAAAATAGTAAATGATATTTTTTCAACAAAATAAATAAATTTTGCAAATCAAACTTGGTCCATTTGAAGAGGCGCGCGCGCGTACACACACACACACACACACCAAACTGTCAAACTGTACCTATGGACTTTTCTGAAGTAATGGGGGTCATAAGAACCTTATAGGGTTTGGAAGTTCAAACTCCAGAAGAAACTGAAAATAGGCCTTAGTTAAAAAAGCACAGGACTGAATAGACTGAAAAAGTAGTGTACAGTTCACCAGCTTTAAAAAGAATCATCTTCCACAGCTTCTAAAAACCGGATTAACAAGGGAAGCATGGAAAAAGTTTGAAAGACAGGGGGGCAGACCTTCAAGAAAATCGACTAAAGTGGCCAAGTAGTATTAATGACTGCAGAACGGATGGAGAAAAATAAGGTAAAATAGCCTTCGGGAAAAGGGCTAAAGAGATTTAACCAAAGGAACATTGATCACTTAGAATATTGCCTAATCCAATGACACTTTTCACTATTAAGCAGTTAGGTATCACCAAGAAATGCTTGCTGGAACAAATCTTAAACGTGGAAAAATACGTAAAAGGAAATATGTTCATTCATTGGCAAAGAACATGTTATGAAAAATTTAGTCCAGTGACATCACCTTCAGTTGCATTCTCTGAACTAGTAAAATTGCCTTATTGTAAAATAAGGCCGTTAGGAAAAAAAATATTACCACATTTATGGTATGGCAGTATTTTTTTGTCTTATATTGACCATAATCTTTATAAATGACAAGGGACTTAGGTGTAAGCCCTGAGGAACTCCGTAAGAAGCAATTAAATTGTCAGAAAGATTTTTTTGAAAGATCCTTTCTTAACAAAGTCCTAGCCCTAAATTTATAACCAATTCCAAGATTTCTAACTATATGGAGAGTTGTAGCTTTTTAAATTAATGTGTGGTGATTAGTGACCATTAATCGATAATTATTCTATGGGATACAGTGTCACACATGTTAGTAATGACTGCATAGATTTTTTTCCCAGAATTTCCTAGTGGGCGTTAGGTTAAAAGTGAATTCTTCTTTTAAGAATTTTTGACGTATGTCTTTGCTCTCATTTTTTCTTAATTTTCAATAAATTAAATTCCAATAAGTTGAACATCAAAAAGCAAAACTGATGCTCATAAATGTAACTTACAAAACCATTATAGTAAGTAAAAAGTGAAAATGTATGTCGATAAAGTCAAAGTTTGTTGTAGCATTTTTAATGTTTGTAATTTTAAAATCGTTGAGTACATCATACATTTTAAATAAAATCATTTTCCAATGAAATACAACACTTGCATGTTGACAGTTTTGCAAATGGAAATGAATTATTGATAAATATCCAATATTCTCATGAAAGCTTTAAAATTGTTCTTATTTTTTTATTATTATTATTATTATTTTAAATTGAAATTAACGTTTATTTTTTTTAAAGTATCAAGATTGCACTGTTATATTACCACAAGGTAGGCTTTTGTTTTTAAGTCATTTAAATAATATTTTCTAATAAATATTTTTCAGGAGTAGTTTCTATGCCAACAATAATAAAAGTCAACCGGGAAAATAATTCAGCCTTATATAAAGTTCTATTTAATCTAAATTAACAGAGTTATTGTGCCACGGAATTTCTATACAATTAAATTCACCTAATATTTGCAATTAAAGAAAGTCAAGTGGGACAATTCCATCAAATCAGCATTCGGTAAAACCACAAATTGTTGGGCAAAATTATTGTGGTAAGTGTCAATTTTTATTTTTGTATATCTGCTTTCAGTATTCAATTGTAGATCTTCTCTTTCTTTTTCAGAAATTGTTTATCATCATTAGCAGTACATTTTAGAAAATAACAGTCAACCACTACAATAAATCAAACAGTATTTAAGGTATTTATTAATTAATTCATTAACTTTTTCTCATCAAAATCAATTTTAGAATATAATATTTTTTTAACACCATTTTAGATTTGAAGCTTTTCCTTTCTTTTCTTTTTAAATTCTCTTTCTGTTCCTTACACTCTTGTAACGTCCTGCCTTACAATAAAATACACAAATAAATAAACATTATGATCCTGCAATTACATTAAGCTTTTTTTGTCATATGTACATAACAGGGGAACAGGATTTTGCTAAAATATAAGACTACCAAATTATCAAAATGTTTTCTCACCTAGGTGAACTCATATTCATCCCCCCTCCCAAATTAGACCTAATTACCTTAGACTTAAGTGACATGCCCAAGTATGTACAGTTAATTATCTCTAGTTCATTGCTTTTATAATAAAAATATTTGATCATCCCCCACTGTATTATTGAATCTCAGTGGCTGTGTGGTCAGCATGATAGACCGTCAGCTCATAGAACCCGTGGTCATGGGATTCCCACCGTCGCCTCTGGCCCTTGACAGTGCTTCATGATACCCTTCCCACAAGAATATAGTAAAAACTATTGCATTCTCTGAACTCTGGCTAATATTGTAAAATAAGACGTTAGGAATAAAAAATATTACCACATTTATTGTATGGCAGTATATTTTCTTTTGTCTTATATTGACCATTAATAAATTTCCATTGCAGTATTTTCAAACTGTTAGATATCAAACAGTACCAACATACAAAAAGTACTGGTCAGAAAATAGTAGTTTATGTGAGAAACTTTTCGTACTTCTCCTAGATGAATTCGTTTATAGTTTTTCCCATTTTCCCTGGTTACCATTGACTTTTGTCTCCCTTTCTTCCACTGCAATGAAGAATATGTAAAATGCAATGTTAAATGTGGTAAATTCTTGAAAGAATTCACTCCTACAATTCTAACCCTAAGCCTACCTAACCCAACCTAACTCTAACACTATCATAGCCTACCTTCACCTAACCTAACCCTATCACTAACTCTACCTAATTTTATCTAGCCCAACCCATGTACACTCCTCATTATTATTATTTATTTTTTTACTTTGCAACACTAATTGAAAAAAGCCTCGTCATATTTCAAGTAATATAAATATGTTCAAATTTGAATTTGTCACAAGTAGTTTCACTTTTATAGGATGACCAGATTTAAGTGTAATTAAATGAAAGAATTTATTTTGGTGCAGGTGATTAGGAAGACTAAACAGCGCAACAGTAAGTTTCGAATAAGTTTAACTGAAAAAAAAATGTAATTGACAACAATTGACGAAATTAATTAAATAAAAACTGCTTGACAGTTTTTTCCTGGGGGTTGTAAGTGTCCAAAATCTTTTTCTTCCATTTTGACTTAAAAGATCTATTATTTCCAAACCTTGAAAAGTTCAATATCTTTAAGGTAGTACAGCACTTTCGGGATTCCTCTTTACCTATTTCCCTTAGCTGTTAGTATCATCGTGCCGAAATTGTAATTTTTCTGGACTAATGCTTTGTAGTCACATAAGTTCCTATGTCTCTATTTTTTAAGAGGTAGATTTTTGTCTTCCTGGTTATATTGAGGAACTTATTTGACACTTTTGCCGCTGGTGAATCCAAGAGTAATTTCTTTCTCTATTCATTTGTTCAGTTCTGATGTTAGTAAGATTTGTGGTTCTGGTTTTAAGAGTGTGAGGGCTGCTTCTGCTTCTTTTGCTAATTTTTCAGTGATGGATGAGTCCGAACCCTTCACTGCTGCTTGACTGAGAATACATTGCACCTTTTATTCCTGTTTTACCATTTCTTGTTGCCCAGTTTTCTATTGTACCTCAGCTTGGAAAATTGTTGGTGTGTGGCCTAGAGAGTTTCTTTGTTGTTGATATTTCAAATTCCCAATGGAGTTTGAATGAAAATAGTTTCATTTCATCGTAGTAGCTTCTTTAAACCATATAAATTAAAAGGTGTCAGTTTAGAATGGTCTAATTTAATCAAAGATTCAAAGCCATTACTTGGTTTCATTGTTTAACTTCACTCTTAATTTCCCTTACTTTATTGTGATTCAGGCCCTTTGTTAAGCCTGTTTTCCAAGATCTTAGTTTTCTTCAGGAACTCAGTTATTAGTTATCAGTTAGTTTATCCGAATGCCTTCCATGATAGAATGGCTCTATCAGCAAGATCATTACCACAAGCACCATCCATATATCCATTACAATATCCACATGTGTCTTGCTTTAAGACCTGGTGCTAAAATGATCTATTGACACCCCCTGGAGCCTGACCCCGGACTGCCGACACCCGGGGTGGGTGATTCTCAAGGCCTGCCAGTAATGTATTGTAAATTGCCGGTGGACTGCAAGAAGTGATAGGCTCAACAGTGTACACATGTTTATGTCGGGGCAGAGTTGAGCTTATATAAACATGAGCTTGTTGAGCTCATATCTCAGAGATGACCTATTATCCCACCTTCGAGAAGGAAAAATCATAAGTTGAGGTCGAAATATAAGAAAACATCGTTACTTATATAAACCATTAATCAGTTACATAAATTTAGAACTAGAATACTTTACAATAGATTACTGAGGTGGGTTATTACACTATTACAATCCCTAATGTTATAGCCAATAGTGTTACAGTCCTTGTTAATAAATTGTTAGGATTTATTTTTTGTCAAATGAATTTGGGACCATTTATTAAATACCCAACAATGTCAATTTGTAATTCTATCTGGATGGGTATAAAAAGAAAAGATTTGTAATTCATAATTGGGTTAAGATGGAACCTCTATTAATTTAATTAAGCAAAATAATTATGATGTGCAATAATATATTTTTTATAAATTTTTATGCTGTGATTGTCAATGAACTAGTTTGCCACTGAACATTGACACTTCTTTCTTTTGAATTATATTCATTTATTTACAATTTTATATTAGAAAACTTATAAACATTTTATATTTCAATATTATTTATGTGATGATAGTCCGTTAATGAGTACAGAAATTTCCTGTCCCTTCTGGTTTTACTCTGGGTTCACTTTTTGGTCCTTTTCTTTTCAAATTAGGTATTAATTATCAACTGAATGATGATGAAACTTGAATTTTCAATTGGTTCCTTGTGGAACACTGACAAGGAGCCACTTTTCTCTATGAACTCATTCTTCTGAACAGTGTACTTGTTCTCTACTGAACAGAGATAATTTGATATTTGAATATATCCATTTAGTTTTAATTTTATATTGGAAAATTTAGAACCATTTTAAATTTCAAGATTATTTATGAAATTTGAATTGTCAACTGATTTATCATGGGACACTGACAAGGAACTGTTCTTCTCTACGGACTCGTTCATCTGAACAATGAACTAGTTCTCCACTGAACGGTGACACTTCCATCTTTTGACTTATTCATTTAGTTTCAATTTTATATTAGAAAAATTTTATATTTCAAGATTATGTACGAGATGTTATCTATTTATTTTTGGATTTGTTTTGTAATTCATAAATGGATACAGAAATTTCCTGTTTCTTCTGGTGCTCTTCAGAGTTCGCTTCTTGGTTCATTTTTTCAAATTATTCATTAATCATAGATTGAATGGTGGTAAAATTTGAATTTTCTACTAATTCAGCATGGAACACTGACAAGGAACTGTTCAATACGGACTAGTTCATCTGAACCGTGAAGTAGTTCGCCATTGAACTGCGACACTTCTATCTTTTGAATTATATTCGTACGGTTATAATTTTATATTAGAAAATTTACAAAAATTTTATGTTTCAAAATTATTTATGAAATGTTAGGTATTTGGCTTTTTTAAAATCTGTAAATGAACAAATCACTTTCGGGAGGGTGTGTGCAAACCCGTAGATCATAGTTGACCGAGTGCCCGCATGAGGTTTTTTTCCCCCCGTCGGATCTACGGTAGATTCGTGCTCTACGGCGCCGTGTATTTCTGAAAAGATGGTTTACTCAAATAATATTAACAGATACTGCAAAATGGTCAAGTAAGCGGGCGAAGTGAAGTAAAAGTCGTCCGCGGGAGTGCTTTTTTTTAACAATCGAGTAACGCCCTTTTCTCAATAGTTCGAATGAGTAAATCTCAAACAAGGTTCGATTTTCTTTCAGTTTACCGTTTCAGTTTTCGAAACACTTTTTAGTTGGTTTGGTTTCGTTTTTTTCCGGACGAAAAAAAATCTATTCGAAAACACAACGTCCACCTCGAGAAAACACGTTTGTCAGATGCTTTCGGCCTTTTTCAAATTTGTCAACTTCCTGTCGTCTTTGAGTTGACAGTTTCCGAATTCGGGTGGCGTGAAAGAGAGACAAAAAAACAAAAGAGGTAAAAACAAAAGAACCATTATTTAACCTAAATCAACAGGAAACTCGAATGCTGATTGAATTTTGGGTAAGTACAAGTTAATTTTTGATAAAAAGTTTAAAATTAATTTGAGAAAATTGTATGGCAGATAGTTCACTGATTAATGTAGTTAAAATTTAAAAAAAGCCTCCTGACTCCCTTCATTTCACATCTTTAATTTTTTTTTACAATTCAAAGCAGTTCGTTTAATAATTAAAATATAATTAAAACCCAACCGGCGGCGTGCGGAGACAATTTCTGCTATTTTGAACCTTTTCGCTTCCTCGGTCTTTTTTTTCCCCTCCAGCACGATTTTTATTTCTCCTAATTTCAAATGGTGTAAAAGTTCCATGTTTAAACGCCCTTCGCCTTATCTCGCCGGAATTTAATTTATCAACGTGACTCACTGCCTTAAGAGTTGGCCGGAGGAACTTTTCCCTTCTTTGAAAAGATTTGCCCACAATTCGACCTTTTTTTTTTAACTCAGGAATCATTAAAGAAACGAAAAAATCAAAAAGACCAAACCTCCCCCCCCTCGTGGGAAAGTAGGGCAGATCAGTCTTTAACTTCAAGTCTCAAATTTACAAGGGAACGTATCAGAATTGTTTACTTTGTTAACCTTCAGCCTTGGCCATTACGCAATTTAGATTACGTTGAAACAAAAATATTAAATAAATAAACAATCATTCACTTATCTATTAACAATCTTATGCTAATGGATCTGAGAGTTAGTGAGAGGCTTTTTACAAAACACTGCCATTAAAACCGATCAAAAGCAAAATTTACACTTTTGGTTTTTTTAATTCGTGAAAAACAATCAATTTGTTGAACTGTTGGACATTTGAAGGAATAGGAACTCTCACCTGGGTGAAAAGTATTTCAATTTTGATTCTAATCGTTCATATATGTCGTAGGCGTTCTTAATCTTGACTCGTTTATCTGTCTCTTTATGTTCAGTATTAAGCGTGGTATTACAAATAGTTGGTATAACAGACGTGGAAGGCCTCTCAGTTAATTATCTGTTCAAATTTGATTTATGAAGCTGTTGCCCAAATGACCAAGCTACAGACAGAATATTAATATGCGATCCTCACTGATTTAGTCTACAAACCAAGATCTTGGCTTGTGAGATTTCCTCTGAAGCCCTGAAGGCAATAGGCCTATATTTGAGTCGTTTATGATTATCCTAATCAGCCTATCTACACTGGTTTGATCTGTAGACCACGATCTCAATTGGTACGAGTTCCTCCAAAGGTTCGTAGGTGATGGCGCTGTACATTTTGGTCATTTCTGATCGTCCAGGACTCTATCCTTGTAAATTTGGTCTGCAGACCAAGATCTGAGCTTGTGGTATTTGGGTCATTTCTGATCGTCCAGGACTGCCTATCCTCGTTAATTTGGTCTGCAGACCAACATCTCAACTGGTACAAGTTGCTCTAAAGGTCTGTATGTGATGGCCTTGTATTTGGGTCGTTTCTGATCATCCTAATCAGCCTATCTACGCTGGTTTCGTTTAAAGACCCAAAATTTCAACTGGTATGAGTTACTCTAAAGGTCTGAGTAGGAGATGACCCTGTACATTTGGTTCGTTTCCAATCATCCTGCCTATATGTTTTGGTTTCATCTTGTAAATTTTTCAGCCCTTCACTCTCATAAATAAACCCGACCAACCTATATTGTCATGGTACAGTGAGAATATTAATATACAATCCTTGCTGGTTCTGTCTGCAGACCAAGATCTCAGCACTATTGACAACAAGAAGCCTAAACCCATCTATCAGACCAACCATGACAGTATAGGCAGACGTAGAGGTTGATTTATTCGAAATATTCTGAGATATCTGAGAAATGTAGCGCGGCCGTGATCACTTATGATGACGAAGGATATTTTCAAGCTGAAGCTCATACTGGGTCTAATTAGGGGGGGAAGCTTTGAGATTATCTCACACAGGTCAACATGTTAAAAAGCGTATTTCAAACAGATTCCCTTTAAGGTAATTTATCTTATGAACAGGTTTTTATTTCAAACAATTATTATGTAATGAACATATAGCTTGATTGCCCCTGAGATGGTAACATTTCAGAAAAACTGGTTTTTGATGAACCATTGACTCTTTTACTATGATCTATCTATCCAACCATAGCTAGGCGTTTTGTTTGTTGATGATCAGGCATTTTCCGTGGCCAAACATTTTTCTGAAGAGTTCAAGGAATGTCAATCAAATGCATCGACTTTTTTTCTCAGAGTTTTTTTTATGTTATCTGTGTTTTGTTAACGACGTTGCATCTGTTAATTCAAGGCTCAAATCTAATTTCAGCCTTATTACTGAATGTACATCATGCTTTCTTTTTCTCTTTCTTAATTTTAAATTTTGCTTTTTGTTACAGCACAATTGGACGCAATGGGTAAATTGCTCTCCAAAATATTTGGCAACAAGGAAATGCGAATTTTAATGCTGGGCTTAGATGCGGCAGGAAAAACAAGTATCCTTTGAAATTAATCGAATATTTAATAGTTTATTAAATATTTTTACAAATTAGTAACTTGTTATATCCATATTGCCTTAAAAGTAATATTGTTTAAAACTTATCTAGATTCAATCCATTAAGCCTTTAATTAAGGTAAATTATAATTGAATAAATAACAAAATTGTATAAATATAATAGAATGTTCAGTTATATTCCTTAACAAAGCATGTAGCACTTTTGTATAAACTGAAATTGGGCCAGTCAGTAACAACAATCCCTACAGTAGGCTTCAACGTGGAAACAGTGTCATATCGTAATGTCAAATTTAATGTGTGGGTGAGTAAACATTTTCTCTGGACACGAACACATATATCATTTATTGCACAATAGTATTCTTGCTTTTTCACTATAACATGTTTATTGATAATAGGAGGAATATGCCACAAACAAGAAATCTTTGCCCCTGAGTGAACAACTTTAAACATTGTCGTATTTTCTCCGGTTCACAGAAAAAACATTAAATCTTGGATATGTAACCTAACCCTAATCTAACCATATTAGGTTGCTAGGATGCTTCTTTCTGTGCCCGAAAATGCACCCTAACTATTCAAACATAGCCATTCATAACCCTCATCAACCTAAGATGATGCCATTAAATTATTGTTCAAAGAAATTGCTCACTATATATTTAAAAATGTTTGTCATTATTTCACAAAATTATAAACAATTTGTACCTTGATTACATGGTAAAAAAGCGATTCAAGGCTAAATGAGGTTATGGAAAAAGTAACATTCTATCTGAGACAAGGTGTAGTCCAACAAAAGATTCATGTTTTCTACAGTGCAATTAGATTAATTCAACATGGATTATTTTATATGTAAAAATTAACATAGATAGTGTATTACATTTATTTTTTTAAATAGGATGTAGGGGGCCAAGATAAAATCCGTCCTCTTTGGCGTCATTATTATACCGGAACTCAGGGACTCATATTCGTTGTGGATTGTGCTGACCGTGATAGGATCGATGAAGCGAGACAAGAATTGCACAGAATAATCAATGATCGAGAAATGAGGGATGCTATTATATTGATTTTCGCCAACAAACAAGATCTACCAGATGGTAAGTTGAAATAATTTTTGTTTCTGACTGTGTGTAAACATATAAACATAGCCATTCATAACGCTCATAACATACCCATTCCTAATCTAACCTAACTATACATAATATAGATATTCCTAACCTCACCACACATAATTTAGTAATACCTAATTTAGCCTAATCTAGCCATTCCTAGCCATCCTAACCATACTTAATCTAGCCATTCTTAACCTAACAATCCTAAATGATCTAACCAATCCTAACCTCGTACTACATAAATTACTTAACCATTCCTAACCAGCCTAACCATACATAATCTAGATATTCCGAACCTAACCCTAATTAACTTAGCCATACCTAACTTAGCATAACCATACATAGTCTAGACATACTTAATCTAACTTAACCCTAAATAGTCTAACCAATCCCAACTTTGTACAACAAAAATAACTTACTTAACCATTTCTAAACAGCCTAAAACAGGGAACACCCCAACGCAATGCGACATGAACCGTTCTACTCAACACCTTGTCTCGTTTTTATAGGGTGTGCTTTTTTTTAAATCTTTCCATTGTACTGCATTTTCTTTTGTGTGGAATGTTGGAAAGTTTTTAAATTGCAATGTAAAATTTGTTACTAATTATTTATGAAGTAAAAAATATCAAGGTTGATTTATAACATCTAGGTTTATGTATTTATACATTTTCTTTTGTAGCCATGAAACCGCATGAAATCCAGGAGAAACTCGGCTTGACACGAATTCGTGACAGGAATTGGTATGTCCAGCCGTCATGTGCCACAACCGGGGATGGGCTCTGCGAAGGGCTCACTTGGCTGACATCAAATCACAAGCTATGAGAACTGTAAAGGCGAAAAAAAAACACAATTTTCGCCTTTACAGCGAGTTCTGCTGTATGCACATGTTTCATGGGTAGGATGTTTATAGGATTAAAAAAATGGTACAATGCTGCGAAAAAAAAAATATATATGGAAAACATTTTTTGTTTAAAAGACTAGTGCAATTTTTTGGTGAATTGTTATGACAAAATTAAACTTGAAAAAAAATAATAAATTTTTGTACGTGTAGTAATTTTTTTATTTTATTTTATTTTTATTTTTTTTGTGGGAGGGAGTTTATATCTAAACTTTCCAATTTTACTGGTAATTAAAGCTTAAGTAATAGTTTAAAAAATGCCAAAAAAGATTTTTTGTAATTTAACCTACAAGTTTTGATTATGTTAACCAGATAAAAATGCAATTTTGAATAAATTATTTCAGCACTAAAAATTTAACTTGAAAAATGTTCTTTTGTCACTGCAGTCGGAAAAAAGGTTAGTCGCAGTGCTTATTATAATTTATTTAGTGAATAATTTTAAATTTAGTTTTTATGTTGCTTTTTGATTCGCAGGTCTTTTTTAAAATAATATTTATTCTTCTTCATCAGTTATTTATTTTGTAATAAGAATTAAGCCTTATATTTATAATTGTCCCCTTGTTAATTAATCATTCGTGACAATTTTATTCGTGTTTTGTAATTATATTTTTGAGCTTATTATATTAGTTTGTACTCTAAACCAAAGTCTCTTACACTTTATTGCCATTTATTGTATATTTTCTTTTTTTGGGGGGGGGGTCTTTTTTCAAATTTTCCGTTTTTATTTACAGTTCTGTAAAAAATAAATTCTATGTTGAACATTTTAAAATGAAACGTGGCAGTGTTTCATTGCATTAAAAAATAATATAGAATTGTAAATAAATTATTTTGCAACATATTTTCATTAGCATAAAACGTTATTAAATATATAATATATGTATATTTAAAAAACTTAAATAGTTGAGTTTAGTTGCCTCAGTTTATCTTTTCCCCTGTTATTTATCTCATAGGATAAAAAAATTTAAAATATTTGACTTTTTTTATATTAAAACAATTAGCCTCGTTTTAACACAAGGAATGTAACATTTGTCAATAATATTGTATGTAATATAAAGAAAAAAATTGTAAAGGATTAATGTAATATTAAAAAAAAAGTTGAAAGTTACTTCAGAAATGTGATAAAAAGAGGGAAAAAGTATGCCTTTAGAAAAGTTATTTTAACTTTTAGGCATATGTAATTAAAATGTAAATAATTTTAAAAAAATGTTACAAAACGTGTTTTAAACCGCTTTCCTAGAAAATAACGCGAGTTTTTCGTTTAAGGGGGAAAAACAGTTCAGTTGCTTCCCTTGAACGCAGTCTGAACCACCAAAACCGCCACTAATAGTCGAGTATTGAAACTATTAATTAAGCAGGTCGATTCGCTGGTGGATGCTTTCTGATAATGTGATCTTTTCGATATTGTTACTGGTTCTTTTCTTCTGATTTTTTTTTTTTAATTGTTTAAGCACATTCCACTTGTTCTATAAAAGACAGATGTAAATATTGAATATATTATAGTATAAATAAGAAAAAATATATATTTAAATAATTTAATACTAATTTTTTTTTTACCTTAACAAGAATTGTTGACTCGTGAATTTGCGAATTAAAAATGCATTTTCTGTCATTTTTTTATACTTGAATAAAAATTTTATTATAAGTGAAAAAAATTGAAATGTTCAACTCCGTTTGGATTTTGATTCACCCCAAACAGCAAAAAAAAAAAATTGTTCTTTTATGACTAGCTGGAACTTGAAAATCCACCAGCGTTGAATGTTTCAAAAGACAAACAAAAAGAAAAAATTTAAAAAAAATGATAAAATAAAAACTCGATTGTAATGATATATATTTTTCTACACACCTGCCTTTCTTTTCAAAACAATTTAAATATTAAGCACAGGGTGAATGATTCAAATTTCTTGCTTAGAGTAATAAAATAATGAACTATATTAATAAACAGAAATTTGAATCATCCCGAATCTTCTGAATTATACCTAAGTTGCTAAGTTGATGTCTTCCATCAATCTAACCTAATATTTTACATTTAATTTAAAACCTTTTAAAGATTGTTAAGTTCTTTGTTTAAAAACTCCTGTTGAATTTTTTATTACAAATAACACCATGTATTGTATGATTAAGAGTCAACCTATATACAGAAAAAGGTGAAGTTTTTCCAAATTTTGGAACGCAAACTGGTCCAATGGTTTGATTATCCATAAGAAAGATGTTTAGAATATACAGATTATATTTATTTTGTTCTTTATTATAATATTGATTTATATATTTAAATATATAGACACAGTGAACTCAAATTTTCAAATAAATATACAAATTAAATGAGCCTGTATATCTTTTCTTCTGTTTCAGACTAACATTATTTTTAAGTATAGGCCTCGTTAAAATTCTCTTTTAAATTCAGGACTTAAAATATAAAATAAATTATTGTAATAAATAAAATCGTTTAAAAACCAAAAGACAAACAGTTTTCCCATCAGAATTGTCCACGTGATTTGCTGTGTTTATATCAGTTTTCAGACTTCATTATGAATTTTTAGTAAATGATAATGGGATTTTGCATGAGAATATACCTTGATACCGTAACATCGATGAGGCAAAATTATGATAGGGTTGTTTTTTTTAATAATTGATTTATTTATTGTGAAAGGGAAGGGGAAAACCCTCAAATGGACCCCTTTGAAAAGCAATACAAATTTTGTGATTAAAACGATTGTTTAGAAGTTAAATAAAAAAATTGTAAATTGTACTGTATTACTGCTTTAAAAAAAATTACACCAGTACGAATCTGTTTAAATTTTGCTTTTTTTTATGAATTCAATTTTTTTATGTACAACCTGTATTTTCAATTTTATTTTATATAGGCTGAAATACATTTGCTTAAAGATAAGCAAAACATACTCTATCAGTTTTTTAAAATTTTATATATTTTCAATCTGAAATTGGAGACTTGATTAAAAACACAATATTAAAAAATGCAATATCTTATATGAATATGAGATAGTAAGAATAATTATGTCCCTAACCGCAACCCTAGCTAACCTAACTATTCCGAAACCACACCTAACCTAACCAACTCAAACATTGTACCATCCCTGATCTTTCTTAACATAACCCTAGCCAACATAATCTCTAACCTAACTTGATCCTAACATTGTTCAGCCGATTTCATCATGAAACTAAACTGACTTTCATTTTTTATTATTTCATATTATTCAGTCGATTTCATCATGGACCTAAACTGACTTTCATTTTTTATTATTTCATTTTCTTTGAGAAAGTACTGTATAGGATTAAAAAATGATTAGACTGTAATAAACCTGACCTTTCATAACCTAAACATAGCTGACCTAAGCTAACCTTACTATTTCTAACCTAACCACTTGTTCATCGGATTTCATTATGAGACTTAAACTGGCATTCATTTTTATTATTTCATTTTCTTGGCGAAAGAACATTTATATAGGTATAGGAATATAAAAATGATAGAATATAACAATAGCTGACCTAATCTATCCTTACTATACCTTAATTAACTCAACTTGTTCTGCCAATTTCACCATGAGATTTTAACTGATTTTTATTTTTATTATTTCATTTTCTTGGAGAAAGAACATTGTATACGATTACAAAAATGATTAGAATATAACCTTAGCTGACCTAACCTAACCTTACCTACCTCGTTCAGTCGAGATGAGACTTTAATAATGACTTTCATTTTTTATTATTTCATTTTCTTGGAGAGAAAACATTTTATAAAATACATACGGTTAGGGTTAAAGACAGATAAGGTGGGCCTAGAGTATATAAAGACAGGTAAAGTAGGGTAGGGTTAAAGACAGGTAAAGGTAGGCTAGGAGTAAAGACAGATAAAGTAGGATTATGGTTAAAAACAGGATAGGTCAGGTATGATTAGGGTTAAATATAGGTTAGGTACAAATCAATATTTTTCTGTGAACCTGAAAAAATATGTTCAGATTGAGAAGGTAGTGCAATCTAAAGGATACTTTAATTGCTTCTTATTGAGTACTATTCTAAGAGCTTTTATATTTCTAATAGTGTGATGTTTGGTTGTCAGATAGATTTAGCAGTCCAAAAATTAAATGTTTACTTAGTCAGGATGTTTTAATTATTTGGACATGGTGTAAAATCAAATTGGTTGGTTGTTTTCTGTGAATAAATAAAAAATGGGGGGAATGGTGTAACATGCTAACAACTTAAATCCTATATTTTAACAATATACTTATAAATAATTATAACAATAAACAACTAGGAAATAACAGAGGCAACAACTCCGTAAGTACAAATTTATCACAATGAATTTATATACAATTTACGAAAGGGCTTTTGTTTTTCATTTTGAAAAAATCCAAATTTAGAGTATAAGTTGAAACTTCAGAAAGTTTCTTCTCCCCCGACTGACGGCTTTGCAGGGTTTTTCTTCTTTTTTGTAGAAATCGGTACTGAAATTTTGACTTTCCCAGGGAAGTTTGTCGCAAACTTCTGACAATCCACAGTCTTGATCAGTTCTTTTTCCCTTTGGGTGCACTCTTCATTTCGAATGAATGTTTCGACGGCCAACTTTGCCGCTTTGCCTTTTTTCGTAGTCCCAGGCACAAGCTTCAGTTTAAATCTGAAAATCCAAGAAATCATTACACTTCAATGGCAAACTAAAGCTACTTATTCAACATGTTTTCCAATAGATTTCCACTGAGGGAGCTCTGAAGAGGACTGAAGGCGTTGGATCTTGTCAGAAGCATCCATTTTGAAAAACTTTCAGTGGGTTTTTGGTCATACTAATCCACAAAAATGGCAACTATATTTAGGGAAACTGCTGAGAAAATCAAAAATCTATTTGCTCTCTGGAAATTGTACTTCAACAGATAGCACATAAAAGTTACTCTCCAGAGAACACCAGACTGGAAAAAACTACAAATGCATGATTTTGATATTCCTTAGAACTTGAGAGACCAAGGACTGAGATACCTCTGGGTCTACGTTGATTGTAGGCTAACCTGGGAACCTCCACATTAACAAGAAAAACTTTGCTATATATTATCAACCGTACTAAGAAAATGTCAAAGTACCTTGTATAAGACCATACTTGGGGTACGAGCGGCAGTATCACTTCAAACTGAGAGAGAGGAAGGTCAACAGGAACCAAGACCTATAAAACATTCTGAAGATCTACCATGAAAATATTATGATAAATTCCATAAAAATTGGCCATCTATGCTTCTGAGATGCCTTCAGTCCTTCTTCAGGCTAAATAAGACAAATCCTCACCTATTTTTTATGTATTTACAATTTATAAAGTACTTACTTGTAGTTAAGTAAGGTACTATACGGTGCTATCACGGGTAATGAATACAAAAGTTCATCGTCTGGGTATGGCTGTCCTGTCAGGACTGCAAGGGCGTCTAAATCTGTCTGTATTTTCTGTTCCAATTCGTCAAGATCTTCCGGTTCTTTTACTTTCTGTGTAACTTCGGCTGGTTTCTTAAATTTGGGCTTCTCAGTGATCTGTGGCTTTTGATTTTTCAAGTTTTTCTTTTCCTTTTTCGTCAGTTTCTTCTCACCGGCAGACTGAAACATCGAGTGATAACAATTGATAAAAAAAGGCTAAAGGGGCAAGGATATGTGTCCAAGAATACAAAGAACTTACGGCAAGAACGAGCATGCGTAGTTTTTTCTCCTCTTCGTCTTGGTCTTTGTACTTTTCCTTGATTTTTTTTAGTTTGCTCCGTTGGCCTCTCTTCAAAGGTGCAGTCTCTTTGGCTTGTTTTGAATTGCTCGGGACAGCTATAACATTACAGAAAAATGACATTAAATGAAGTGATAAAGAGAACCCCAAGACTTCCAAATCAAGTTTTACAGTTCAAAACAAACAATAAGACCTTATGATAATCGGACCCATGAACTAGTCCAAGACAACAAGTCCAAAATTGCACCATTGTTTTCAGTGTAAAAAATCCTTTAAAATGATGTATCAGGATGTATAGGGTTGTATTTTAAATTTTGAAGTTTAATTGTGCCTGAAGTACCCCGTATAACTTTTTCAGAAAAAAAGGTAAACATTTGAAACTAGACTAAAAAATATTAAACACATACTTTTTATTAACTTATTTATTATTTTTTTTTATAGCGTCATTGGTTCAAGTGAAATTCAACTGGGCCATCTAAAATGAACACCCTGTATAGTTATAAATTGTTATGGCCCTCAAGTATTAAAATAGATATCGTATTTTTTGAAAATACAAAGGGGAAAAAATTAATACAACCAAGAGTTGGTACAAATATTTAAGTTTCAGATTAAAATTGATTGAACGCTGTTACTTACCAAAATCTGTTTGTTTTTCTTCTTTCTGCCCGCGTTGTTGGTTAACATTTTTGTTTGTGTTTCTAGGTTTCTGTTTAGCCTTTATGTTTTTATTGTCTGATTGCTTCAAATCATTATCTTCTTCGGACTGTAAAGGTGGCCCTTCATTGCCGGAATCGTCATCGTATATTTCCAATTTGTCTTTTTTAACGTCGCTCTTCTCCTCTTCACACTGTAATGACGGCCCTTCATTGCCCGAATCGTCTTCATCGTCCGAGTCATTTCTGTTGACGTCACTTGCACTTTTGTCGGGCTGCAAAGGCTGCCCTTTCCCGGAGTCATCACATTCATCTTTTGACAGCGATATAGTGTCTTTGTTTTCATTATCATCATCACCTGAGCTCTTAGAACTAACACTAAGAGTTTCAAATTGTTCTTCTAGTCGAACAGTTTGCTCTTCGACTCTAGAAAAAAAAAAATGTTACTAATGTAAATTTTAAAACATGTTAAATGTAAAAAAATTGAAATTGTACCCTGAAGTGTTGTCTGATTTTTCGCCTTGTCTATCATCTTCAATACGAGAGTCATCTGTACCTTTATTTTCAGCTAATAATAAAATATATTAATCAAAAATCGATTTAATGAAGAAAAATAAATTATACTCACAAGTAGATTGTTCATAAATATTTTCAACATTCCGTACTCGTCTTTCATCTTTATGTCTATAAAAAAAGAATTTATGTCATATCTGAATAAATTTCAAGAAGTTATAAATAACGTTTTTTAACGTATTTTACACTGCTCAACTTTGTTATTTTGTCTCGTTTGCCATAAGCCGTAGCTATAAGAATAAAAATATTTTAAAAAATTATAAGAAACCTCTCTGCTGAAGAATCTGAGACTCTGAACAAAAAACCACACCCCATGGCCAGTTGAGCAGGAAGTAAATAGTTTTTGTGCCCTCGAACCATGAAACTTCCCGTCTGCAAGTATTCACCGGTTGGCGCAGTTTTTGACACTTGTTCATGAGTAACCCACCATGCCGAACAAAGAATTTTAGCATCCCAACCGACACTGTAACAAAAAAAATCATGTTTATTTGCAACCCACAAAACGTTAACTTACATAGTGGACTTCCCATAAGCAGACAAACAAGCAGACTTAAGAATGGGATTTTGTCTCTTTATAATGAGGGTCCAAATATAGACAAATTTTAGGTACAATAATTGCAATTCAAAAATTAAATTAATTCAAGCAAATATCATAGTCATGAAAAAATCCAGGTGTTTCAACGAAGAAGGTCAGGTGAAGGGAGTTGACCCAAGTCGTGTCAGGCTTAATCGAGTCACGAAGGGGGCCAGGAGAGAAGAGCTGAGTCAAGTCACAAAGGAGGCCAGGTGAGTTGACCCAAGTCAAGTTGGAGTCTAGTCAAGTCCTGAAGGAGGCCAGGAGAATCAGGTCACAAAAGAGGCCGGTGAGTTGACCTGAGTCATGAATGAGGCTAAGTGAGCTGACCCGAGTTGAGTCAAGTTCAGTCAAAGACACAAAGGACCAGGACAGCTAAATCAAACCAAGTCCAGCCATGTCCCGAAGGAGGCCAGGGGAGTTGAGACACCAAGAGGTGAGGTGTCAATCCGAGTCATAACAAGTCAAATCAAAGAAATGAAGGAGGCCAAGAGGGTTGAGTATAGTTGAGTCAAAAAGGAAGCCAGGTGAGTCGAATAGTCCAGAGAAGTCAAATAGAATTGACTGATAAGAGAGGTGAGACCCAAGTAAAGAGCAGTCAAATAATGAGAATAGTTCTGAAACCAGAGACCAGGAAAGGCACCAAGAGGCTAAATCAATCTTATCTCTCTGGTTTTTGTATTTATTAATACACAAAAAGTAAACAAGCATGTACACTAAATTTCCTTACCTCGCATAGCAAAAGTGGAAAAATATTGTTTAAAGTGGAATCCTGAATTGTTTTTCTTTCTCTCCTGTCCATATAAAAGACTTTTTCATTAAAAAATCTATAAATGTATGCTTGTCCATTTGGGGAAGTTTGAGTATATTATTATAATACTAATGTAAATCACCTGCAGCATACAGCCATCGTTCCAGCTTCATTTAATGTTTTAATAGGTACAGGTTTACCAGAAGGGTTTTTAATTACAACATTGCTAGCACCGTGGATATCAGCATGGACATATAAATCTCCAGCTGTCATATAGCGCTTTACAATGAGTTCATTCTGTGCCTGATCTCTTCCTCCAATAACTAAGAGAGAAAAAAATCTACTGTTAAAACATAACAGTGTAAAATATTTCTATGACATAAATATAAAAATTATTCGTAAACTTTACCTAAATAATTTTCTGAACTTATAAACCAATAAAACTTTTCAAACCAGTATGGCTTTTGGATTTTTTTTATTGTTGTCAGGGTTTTGATCTCTTTAAGAGCGGTTCTCGCTTTCTTTTGAGCCGACACGAGTGCCTTGTCTTGTGATTCTAAAGTCTTTTTCTCTTTTTGTGCAGCATACTTCTTGTGATTATAGTATCTTTAAAAAAAAATTATATTAATGCAGATAAAATAACACTATTTTTGAAAAGACCTTACTGTTTAGCATTAGCATGGGCTGACAAAGCCAGGTCAATATCCACAGGAGTAGGTTCGCTCTCACCATATACATCATCATAAATGTCTCTATAAAATATTAAGTTTAAACATAAAAAATAAATTAGAATTAAATTTCATTTACTTAAAAATTACATCATTTGATTTTTTTATGTGTAAAATTCCAATATTAAAAAAAAAACGCGTAGCCTTAGGTAAATAGAAAAGTTCACCTTAAAAGGAGTGTTATATGATTGGTCTGGAAGTTAAGAGATTTAATTATTAAAGCAACTGGATCTTTCTGGCTTTGAGCATTTTTAACCATTGTGTCTATGGAAGACCAGTCCATTTGAGCGGCCAACGCTGAATTTATAATCAATATTGCATCTCCTACGATATCGCTGTTGCACATAATCAGATCAGCTTTTTTCTTATCAGTTTCTTGCGTGACAGTTAATTCATAAATCCTGCTGTCCTGATTTTGCTTTATTTTTTCAACTTTGCTAAGAACCTCTTTTTCCTGAAAAAGAAACAAACTTTAAACTCAAACTTACTTAAAAAACAAACTTTATTCAAGAATTTGAATAAGTAATCATGAATACAACGTATTTACAGATTCATATAGAAAGATGTTCATTTACAAAAATAATATACAAGTTACACCCACATCAAGTTGGTGATATCATTTTAATCTTATTAATCTATTTTTTTTTTTTCAAAATCAAATTATAACTTACATATAGAGTACAAATACTAAAAGGGGATGATTAAAATTTTCAGTACTATATTATAAATACAAGGGTTAATCAAAGAGGCAGAACTTAAAAAGTGAAAGAGACGAGGCTAGAAAGATATTGTGAGGAAAGAAATTCCAGAGATTGTTTTCTGTGAAGTGGAGAGTCTTAGCCATCTGCCTCTTCATAAAACATTTCTCATCTCTGTATGAAGGTGTAAACAATTTTGAAAAATGGGTACACATAATATATAACCCTTATATTAAGTTGAAATTAAGGACTAACATACACATTCACTATTAAATGAATAACAAAATGATAACACTGTAAATGGTTTGTAAGGTAGGGTTAGGCTAGGTAACAAATGGTTAGAATAATAGGATTATGATTGTTTAGTTAGGTAACATAGGATAGGAGTTACATTAAGTAGGGTTAGGATTAAGTAACAAGGTTAATTTTTTTCTGTGAAACAGAAAAAATATTCCTGAAGGTACAAGCTATTTTAATCAGGACTATAGATAATATATAATCATTATACCAAACTTGCTGAAATTCTAGCAGAGCTAACTTATGGATCCACTATTAAAAAGTTGATATTCCAGATGGTTAAGAGAGGTAGGGTTAGGCTGGGTAACAAATGATTAGTTCAAACAGAATTAGGGTTGAATGTGTTTAGGTTAAATATGAAAATGGTTTGGTTTGGTTAGGTAACAAATAGTTAGAATAAATAGGATTCACATTGTGTTAGGTAAAAATGGATAAATTAAATAGGATTAGGATTGGGTTTGATAATGGCTGGTTGAATAGGATTAGGGTTTGGTTTTGGTTAGGTAACAAATAGAATAAATAGGATTAGGGCTGGATTTGGTAACAAATGGTTAGGTGCAAATAGGATTAGATTAAGTACCAAATGGCTAGGTTAAATAGGATTAGGTTTGGTAACAGATGGTTAGGTTGAACAAGAGTTGGGTTGGGTTTAGTTAGGTAACAAATAGTTAGGATAAATAGGATTAGGGTTGGGTTTAGTAACAAATGGTTAGGTTAATAGAATTAGGGTTAGGAACAAATGGTTAAGGTAAAGAGTTTAAGGATTCATTGGATTTGGTAATGAATTGTCAAGATAAATAGGATTAGGTTGGGTTAGCTAAAAAATGGTTGTTAGATAGAGTAGGGCTTAGTTGGTTACAAATGGTTTAAGTAAAAGATTGTTACGATAGATACAATTACAGGTAGGTACGGTATCATTATGATTAGGTATGTATCCATGGTTCAATGTTTAACACACTCATTGTACAAGTGATGCTGGGAAAACGAGGGAAGAGTATGTATAGAACTTTACAAAGATGTTTTACATATAGTACGTACCATCATTACAGCTTTCATTTCAATACTTTGTGACTCGATTTTAGAAAAGAAGTCATCAACAGCATCATTAAATGTATCATATTCGCTAAATTGTGAATTTTCAAACTGCTTAAATAGATAAGGATGGAATTCAAGATAATTTTCAATATCAGTACCATCCACATTCTTCACAGTTTGTTTGATGATATAACCCTGCAATTAAATTTTAAAAATAATGCATGTTTTACTAGTATATTTACTTATTATTTGTCTCTATTAGAAAATGAATAGGTTTTTAAGAATAGAGAAGAAACAGAAAAAATGCCAGAAAACGTAATTTACATTACCTTACACCCTTTGGTAGAAATTTCATTAAAAATTTCTTCAGCTTTTAATAGATTTTGCTCTAGAAGTTTAAGCTTATCTTCAGGAATATCGCCAGAAAATTTCGTGTTTTTTGCAAGCCCTGACAACACAAGGGCATGTTCAATGAGAGAAGCTCCAAAATCTAAAACATCAACAAAAATATAAATAAATAATAATAATAAAAAATCAATGAAGAATAATTTAAACTCGCATAGACGTACCTATAACTGGCAGAAGAGATTTGTGAATAGTTGCATCCTTTTTGGCATTTGCTTTCATTTCCTGGAGTTTATCAAAAGTAGGTGGGGCTAATTTTTCGTGCGCTCGGTCCATCGGATATTTCTCACGAACTGCAAATCTGCACACAAAAAAAAAGAAATGTAAAATTATCAAAATTTTAAAATTTTTCCAACATTAAACAGGTTTGTAATAGTTATATTTTTGAAGATGAAAGAGAATGTTAACCCTTAGCACTTACACTGCTTTTTTAAACACTAAAACCCTTGGGGTTGATATAACTCTGCTATTGAGAACCTCCGGAAAAAATAAGTGTTCCTTGGAAAGTCAAATTCTAACCTAGAGAGGATTTGATGTATGAGGAGTGGATGACTGGTTTTATACATTTACCACCTTGACAAAAATAAATATTGTATTTTTGTAATTAATGCCATGAGAATTTTGGATAATCATGTATAAAAGGAGGATAACGTTTTTGCTATGGGAAAGAACGCTTTAACATTTAAAATGCTGGAATACTTTGGGTTTTGATAGGTTTAAAATGGTTAAGTTAAGCTAGGTTAGGCAACAAACAGTTAGGTTAGAGAGGGTTAGGATTAGGGTTTGGGACAAGTTTGGTTAAGTTAAGTAAGGAAGGGTTAACCTAACACTCCACACAATTGAAATTTGTTGAATTTCTTGTCTAGATGAAGAAAAGAAAAAGAAAAAAAGCACTTTATTCTGGGACTTTATGATTTTGAATAACTTTTGAATAACCTACTGTGATAACCTATTATGGTATGTTGACCATTCCGAAATCGAGATTATTCTTGAGTAAAAAGTGGTTAATACATTTAACATTTTAAATGATCTATTTGCATAAGATTCATGCCTGATAAGGCTATATGAATATACAATAATTTCTTATTTACAAAAATACCAAATATGGTTAAAGACCTGGAAACAGCGATATTAAGTGAAACATTACGGGAGGATTATCTGAGTATATAAACATCTGAAGAAAAACAACAGAACCAATCGCTATGATTGTAGTTTTTGCCCAATGATAATAATTATCGAAATAAAATTAAAAAGGTACAAATGAATTTCTTAGATGCCAAGTTGTTAGGACAAAACATGAGTGTACAGAGGATCTGAACATAAATGGGAAAATATCATCTGATAGAGGAAGGAGCAAAGGATTTACATCCTACGATAAGAAGGGTATAACTTGAAGGCAAAATGTACAAAACAGTTCATTTAACATCTGACATCAATAGTCAAAGTGAGGTAGAATAAGGGAGGAAATTATGAGTCTACGTGTACTAAAGGGGGAGAAGATTGGCACAACAGAATGGAGAGTGGAAAAGCAAAAGGCTGCTTGGGTGGGAAGGAAAGGTAAATTTTAGCACAACAAAAAATGGAAGTTGCTTGAGCCTATGAATTGGGGAGAGAAGATGGGAAGGAGACAGATGACACTGTGAGAGAAAGATAAGATTTTAAGTTTAATGATAAAAGAATCGACAATGTTTTCATATTAATTTAAATGAAAATAATTGATTACAATTGTAGTTTTTGATGACTGATTAGTTTGTAATTATTATATTTCTAAAAATTTTTTTGAATTATTGTAGAAACATTAAAAAATGTTACCTGACGTTTTTTTCTTTGTGTGGTGTAAGCACACTTAAAATAGACATAGTGTTGTCCGTAAGTATGATGTTTCCCCGTTGAAAAAATTCTACTATTAAATAATGCATCGCTATATCGACACCAAATTGCATTATAACTATTCTATCATTCCCAAGTTGGTTGATATTTTCTAGTCTTTTATTTGATAGGTGTTTCCTCAGCTAAAAACATAATGAGATCAGTAATCAGAAAGAAAAAGAAGTGTAAATTTACCTTCATCGTGAAGCCAGAAGGACACGGACTTTTTGGCCATGTGTATGTTGTAATGTGAATGCGTGAACCTGACTCTATGAGAAGTACTGTCTTCTTATTCGGACTGTGAAACCTAAAAATGTATGTCTTATGATCTATATCGTAGATCTGGTTTATCCGCATCCCATGCAAGCTGTAACATATAAAAAAATAACAAAATTATTTTCTATTCATTTTTCATTTAATGAAAAATAGCCGTATTTTGGGTCAACATAATTGGAAAAAGAAATTAAATATTGAAATTCTATTTTAAGTAGAAAACCTAGGAAATATGTCCATATAACTAAACTTAAGTTCTTCTTATCCAAAAATTGCAAACATTCCCCATATCCCACCCCTATATATTTAAGGGTGGTTTCCTCCTCAACAACTGTATATTCCAGGACAGATTTTGTTTTCACTGACAGTTCCAGGTCTGAGGATGCTAAACGATCCTGTCTATACGCTGAACCATTACCATCGTTTATGTCGCCCATGTTTATAATCTGTTCTGACTCTCTTTCATCACTCACTGCGTTTATCTGTGTTCGGCGAAAGAACCGTATCAATGGACAGATGCATCAGATTGCTCAACGGACCAGATTGGACAGACTTGGTGAATTATGCTAAAGTGGCCTGGGCCTATCGAAGGCTAATAGTAAACGAATTTAATTAATAATTCTTCTCTCTTCTTCTCTTTTACTCCCAATTTCTTTGCCCCCGCTCTTTCCCTTGATATTTGGTGTTTCTGTTTCTCCGGTCTCAGCTCCGCTCATTGATTTTTAATTCTCAGTTTTGTGTCCTTTTGATTTGGTATTTTGTTATAGATGTTACACTTAGCATAGATTTAGTTTAATGCATTTGTAAGTTTATTTTACAGGATTAGTCAATAATTAATCCAAGCTCCGGCAGACGGTTACCTTGCCGTATTAAGTTTATTTTCTTGTTTGAATTATATGTAATTTTTCTTTTTTCTTCTTGTGTGCAATAAACTTATTATTATTATTATTATCATCACTCACTGCACTAATGAACACATCCCAAAATCCAGGCATATATTATAACAAAACTAACACAATATCAAGACTGAAATAATAAAACTGGTACTCAGGATGGGGTTACCTTCAGTATTCATCACTTTACATACCTCGCCTGGGAAGCCTGGAAACCGGAATTACAATTTTAAAAAAATTCTTTCACACTTTACTGGAAAGAAGAAACTTTTCTATCTAGCTCGGCTTCGGATCGGCCAGTTGTGGCTTACCCATAGTTTTCTATTCGACAATACCCTTAAAACCATGTTTCCATGTATATCTATCACTAGATCCTACATCATAATAATGTAATAACAGCATTGACAGATCAGTGGTCATCTTCGGTGCATGGGTTTTTCTATAAACATCCGTTCATCTTATGCCAGAAATATAACTTCCATCCAGTTAATAGAAATAATAAATGGTGGAGTAAGTGTGTTGTTCAATCTTTTTAAAAAGATAGTTCCTACTCATCCATCCAGTTATCCTATAAACTACCCCTAATACACCTGCCCATTTAACCTAAATTAAGACACTGAAGATGTAGAGAAGGCTAAAAACATCTGACAGGTAACCCAGCAAGGACAGACCAAAACGATCAGTGACAACCAAATGTCAGGTTCCATCACCAAGCCAACAGCCTGAAGAAATCTCACAACTTGAAAGATTGTCCACCTTATCATATACATGTTATAGTGAAGCTGGTAGTCTTGTAAAGTTAATTATAAGTGAACAAATAAGACATTTTTAATTTTTTTTCTACCAGTGGCAATCTTCAATGTGCGAGTTTTTCTATAATTACAAAGCTGCAACATCTGTCCATTTTATGTTAGAATAGAACCTACAAACCCATTTACCATAAGTCAGGACACACAGATGATTACAAAATGTTTAAACGTGTCTGACCAAAATGAATGAATTGAATAAATGTTTTTATTTTTTATTTATTTAATTATTTTTTTAATACTTTTTTATACCAGTGACAATCTTCACGGTGAGAGTTTTTTTTTTATATTTAACAAGCTGCAAATCCATTCATTTTGGTAGAAAAATAACCTCTTGACAGTTATCCCATAGTGCACCTAATATGCCTATTTGTTTATTATAAATTGGAAGCTGGAAACAGTGATGGCTTTGTGTAGTTTATTTAATTTTTTTTCTCCCAGTGGCAATTTACGCTATGCGAGTTATACTATTATTACAAGGACTGCTATTTCCCTCCATTTTGTTTGAAGCATAACCTCCTTCAGGTTATCCTAGAAACTGCATCTCCCCGTTTAACCCAACTTGCTAAGCTGGTAAAGCTTTTAAAGGTTTTGTGAAGTTTATTAAACAAAATAACTAGAAAATTTTAGTTTCAAGTTGAACAAATTTCTACATAAAATATCAGGTATGCATAAGACTATTGTGAATATTCTATCATGCCTTGTGATGAAAGTAATATTAATCGCATTTATTCAATCCTCGATGGATGCATTCAATTCAGACAGTTGATGTCAGGCATTTCAGGATTATGAGCACACAAATTTAAAAAAAAGAAATAATACTTAATCACATGCCAATAGCAATCTTCGCTGTGCGAGTTTTTTGTAATAAAAAGAGCTGCAATATCAGTCCAGTATGTCAGAAATATAACTTCCATCCTGTTAACCTATAAAATACATCTAATAGGCCTATTAGTATATTATAAATTGGTAAGCTGGAAAAGCTGATGGTGAAGTGTATATAAATCGAACAAAAGGGTTTTGTCTTATTTGTTTCTATCAGTGGCAATATTTACTATGCGAGTTATTCTACAATTACAAGAACTGCGAATTCCCATCATTTTGTTTTAAGTACAACCCCCTTCTTGTTATCCTATAAAGTACACATCCCCGTTTAACCTAAATTGCTAAGCTGGTGGTTTTGTGAAGTTTATTTCAATAAAGACAAAAGTTTTTTTTTAAAATAGTATATTGAGATTAAAAAAAACCTAAAGAACAAAGTTATGTGCTCGTTACTGCTTAACTGCTTAACAAAACTAGAGTTACAAATTTCTACATAAAATATCAGGTATACAGTTTTATAAGACTACTCCGAATATTCAGTGATGCCTTTGAGATGAACGTAATAGTCTCGAATTGCATTTATTTGATCCTCGAATGGTGCGTTCATTATAGATGGGTCGATGTCTTTCTCAGCAATCATCTCTTCGAGTAGTCGATTTTTGAATAGATTTGACTTGAGATTTTTGAAGTTGATTTCATACCCACTGGTTTTCAATTGGTGCAATTTTGTATCCAGGGTACGAAGCTGTTTCAACTCGTCTTCCAGTGCCTTTTTGTTGTTTTTGAGCTTTTGAAACAAAATGTTCAACTCAAGGTAAAGGGAGTCATTTTTTGATATTATACTGTTCCTTTTGGTCTCGAGTTCTAAAATGAGATCACTGTACAAATTGGACAATTTGTTTTCTATGCTTTTCAGCGATTTGTAGCGATCGATGATATCGGAAAAGGAGTCAAATTGTTTAGAGTCTTCGACAGCTTTATTGACAAATTCTTTGTAGAAAAGAGCAGTTTTTAAGTACTCATTCATCGAGTTAGATATGAAATATACGCAGCACATACCGAGAAGGAGATTCTGATGGTCTAATATCAACTTGTTGAACGTTTCAACCTCCTCTTCAAGCTTTTCATACGATCTTCTTATCTTGCATTTGTTCTGTTCGAAAAGATGTTGAACGCTGCAGTTCTCGTTGTAAAGGATCAGTTTGTTCGCTTCGAAATCGGCTAGGACCTCCTTCGAGTCGTTTTCCAGCTCGACCTGACTCTCGAACCTCGTCTTGAGCACCTCCTTCACCTCGATGGCTTTTTTGCAAATCCGATACCTTTTGTGAAAATTGGTCGAAGGGGGTAGATAATGGGTCACGTATCCTTTGAGGTTCGACGGCCTGATCACCCTGGGGTTCAACGAGCGGAAATCACGCTCGACCGAATTGAAAACCGACCCGTTTATGAGATTATACGCCATCCCGGATTAGAGACCGGTTGTCATAGAAAACTACAAATAAAGTTTTTAAAAAAATAAATAAAAAAATGGGGGACTCACCTTTTCAGCTCTTGGACAGCGGCCGCCAAGTCGAGAGAATTGAAAACAGTCTTCATTTTATTCCGGCCCGAGTTTATCAACCTCTCGGGTTGAGTTTTACGACTGACAGCCGTGGATATACCAGGGATGTGATATAACCGATTTGTTCAAATTAATCATGTGGAGTTGGATCAGTTGAAGGAGAAACAGAGGTTACCCTCCCATAGAACTTGTTTGCAATGCGTCACCAAGCACGAAGAAACGTGACGTAAATTAATAGAAAAAAAGGAAAAATTGACTTTTTTTCTAATTTAAATTACTTTTTGAGACGATTCTCACCCAAAGATCAACCTTAGCTTGCTATTTCTATTTAAACATAAAAATCAGAAATTTTGGTTCCAACCAAGCAACGCACAAATGAGTTTCAACCTTCCCCTGAAATAAATCCTTCTTTTCAAGTTTATTTATATTTGAATAAATCTCAAATTAATCAATTATTTTTAATTTTATGCTTAACATTTTTTTAATTTATCAGGCAGTGTTTGTTTTTATAAAATTAACACAGATGTAATTTATTCCGTGTTTTTTTTTTGAAAGAACAAAAAAATCATCCCGGGTCGACGGCCGACGGTGATTGGTTATCACGTGTGATTCCAACTGGATGAAATTTTGCCGCGCCATTTACGAAAATGTATTTCGGAACATCTTCGTCAAACCCAGTTTATTTTAAAACAATAAAGTATGATAAGTTTTACCGTTATTTGATAGAAACGTACAAAGTGTGACGAGCAAAGCGGTTTGTCCTTCATCTTCATAGGGAATAAGTTTGGTTTTGTTGTGTAGAAGCCGTTGAAAATGGACAGTGAGAAACTGATTCGTTTAGTCTTCGAAAGGAAGAGTTTATGGGATCTAAAACAGCCTCAGCACTACGTGAGAAACGTAACCACGAAACTATGGGCTGAAGTAGCCGATGAAATGGAGAAACCAGGTAATCATAATTTTTTTCCACAATAATTAGCTAACTTGATCTCAAAGCAGTAGGTCTCATTTGTAACGTTGTCCAGTAAAGTATCGTGAACATTTCACTATTTTCTAATTTCTAGGGCATGTCTGTGTTTCATCGGTTCGCCATTTATTAACTAGTTTTGTACCTAATAAACTTTATTTTAACAGAAATAATAAAAATGAGGTGAGTATGTCGATTCGCTTTTTGTAAATGGCGGTTCTACTAACAGATATCTTGTTTACAACGATCCGGATTTCGACCATTAAATGCTCATTGTCAGATTAAGTAAATTACGTGAATTGTAAGAGTTACTTGCGAATCTGCCGCCAACGCAATGTTCCAATGATTTGGATTTACATAAAGTCAAATCCGTACATGTACACACGTACATACTAACATGTACCGAGTTGAGCATGTTCGCTTCTCATAGTCCAATCACCCATCGCGGGTGTTGGCAGTCTGGGAGCAGACCTTAGTCTTGATCAAGGTATGGTCTTGAAGAAGAAAGCAAATTCAGTTGCTACTGTCAAGCTTTCGGCCTATTTTAAGGTCGTCATCATCAAGGAAAACAAACTTAAATATGCCTACAGATTGACACATTTAAGTTTGTTTAGAGGTGATCTCAAACTTCCTTGAAGCCTGACTCAGTCCCGAGGATTGCCAGATGTTATGTATCACACTGTTACAGTTATCTTATCACAATATTACAGTTACCTTGGCAACGTGGGGCTGAACCGGTCCTCAAGGAAATTTGAGATCGCCTTTAGAAACTTAAATTTGTCAATCTGTAGACATATTTAAGATTGTTTTGCCTTGATGATGATTTTAAAATAGGTCGAAAGCTTGGCAGTAACAAATGACTTTGCTTTCTACTACAAGACCATACCTTGATCCAGAATGTTGGTGAGTGAAAAAGTGGTCGATATTTCTAATGCTGAAAACAGTTACCTAGAGTTCATACTTCATCCTACAATCACCGAGGTTGTCTCGGATGGGGGGGTTGTTGTCATCAGCCAGGACAATTCAGCACCCAACGCATGCAGTTCCAACCAATTCATACTCACGTTCATTCTTAATTACATTCACGTCTATTCACATACCATTCATTCAATTAAGGTGGTGGAGTACTCGATATTCCTACTTCACCCTTTACACGTATTTACACAACTAACCTAATTGTGGGTCGATATGGTACTCAATATTCCGCTATCGACCCACTCATATCACACGTTCACGCTAATAAATACATTCACTCTCAACACAAGCTATGTATGCACAATCATTATTACTATATACAATAGAATAACCCTATTTCCTCCAAGAATCGGAACGGGGACCCAAATACCCCCTCTCAAGCACAATTTTCAAATTGGATGACATTCCTTCGCGCTCTCTCGGAATTGCACCCTTCCATTTGGTGGGACTCATCAAGCAAGCTTTCTCTGCATGCGGACTTTGGCTCAAAAGTAAGCGTCCTTTTGTAAACGACGTTCCAATGAGAAGCTGGTTTTAATGCACAATGAAATAATTTTAAATTAGTGATTAATTTGTATGTCTTAAGTACATGTTTAAAATTTGGGGTAGATCAAAATCTGTAAAATTATTAATGTTACGTTTAATTTTACTTTTTTTTTAATTTCTCAAACCAAACTAGTAGTTCCTTCCCTTTGTTGAACACTGTTGTATTTAAATTGAAATTGTGTTCTGTTTAGATGGTCCTTACATTTATAAAAAATTTCAAAATTGTTTGAAAAAAAATGCGCAGTTAAAAAACTCATATCAATGAATTCAACCCCCCTCCCCAATGTTATACGGTACAGTCAAAATCCACAAAGAAAATAAACCTATAAGACCAGTGGTGTCTTTTATAATATTCTATGCCACAAACTCGCGTCAACAATAGATAAAATAATTAAAACTCACACCAATTTCTAACCTAGATTCTGTATTAATAGTTCTTTAGAACTGATAAAACAAATAAAGACCTATATACCTACCAACTGTGCTTTAGTGTCATTTGATGTTACTTCTATTTACAAATATCCCCGTTACAGAATGTACCAAACTATTAGAACAAAAACTTTTGGAACGAATTTGTAAAAATGATATAGTAGACGTCTTAAATAAACTGCTCAAAAATGAATAGGGATATTGCCCATTTTGTAGTATTTACTTTCGCAGTATTTTTATTTTACTTTTATTATAAATTGCATTGAAATTTATTAGTAATTATTATGTTGTTTTTTTCTGAAGGCAAATTTAATTAAGGGATTTTGACAAATAACAAAAAGGTTTTAATTCCATATTTCATCAGAGATACAATGTCAATGAAACTGCATTTTCTAGGCGAATGTCCCATCCTGGAGAATTTTGTTTAATTTATTACAAGTGGAGTGAATTGGGGTGATTTTTACTCATATATCATTACTGCTTTAAAATAGAGACGGCTTTTGGTGGATGAATTTAATTTTAATTAATTTTCATTTTACTAAAAAATAATATTTTTCTTAATTTTAATATGTTTACTTTTGTATTTGTTATTTATTTGAATATGTAAACTCGACAGACGGACTCTAGTTCATTTTTATTATGCTGTTTGTAGTAGTTCTTTTTTACGCAATTGTAATCATAAGCTCTTCAAAGGAGAATGTCATTATTGCTTACTGGTACTTAAGTCAGTGGAAATAAAAAACGAGAAAATATTGCGTACACAATTGTAATGCTAACAATATTTTCAGCTATTTTCTTCCATGCTACTCTGTTAAATTAGTTCTTGAATAACTTTTCAAAGAATAATTCCATAAACATGGGTTCTGTTCAACTATTTTGTCAAAAGAAATAGTAGCAGAGGCGTCCTCCTGTTGAGTCGACATGATTCACTGACGAGTCGCGCCGATCGTGGTCGCCTGGAGCGATTGACATGCTGTGTCGCCCTAACCGATATGCCGCCGATAAAAATCGGCGTTATATCGCAATCGCCTGGTGTGCACTGGTTAGTTGCAGGCAAGGAATACAGGTAAGTGATACGGTGTCGAATTGCATATCGCATCACATTTCGTATCGTGTATTGCATTGCTCCAGCGGGCACTGCGCCTTACAATTCACTTCGCGAGACGTGTTTGTAATTTATTCAATCTGATGATGAGCATTTAATGCTCTAAATCCGTCTCGTGGTAAACAACAAATCTGTGAGTAGAACCGTCATTTACAAAAAGGAAAAAAACTTTTTTTATGTTAATCTACTGTCAGACGTCAAATTCTTAAAACGATTTGGGCAGAAACCCTATTTCCTTAGTAATTACCTAAAAAAGACCTATCCATGGCAGCATCAGAGGCAGTGGGTGTTTACATTGCCTTTCATCCTACCATGAGTAATACATATTCCATACTGTCTACTCTTTTGCATACCCACTTTCCTGCTCAGTGTCTCGGAATTGGGCTGAAGGTATACTGGTACTTCATACTTCATACTACACCTACCTATTTCGCTACTTCGCTACCTATTTTCATTCTCACTTCAGAGTGGGCTGAATGATGTCTGGTTAAGACATGAGGCGCGGAAATATCTCCTCAACCTGTTATCTTAATTCGTCCAGTTGACCACTTCCAGTTGCGTGAACAGTGGTGAACACAAATACCGCTAATTTGATCCTTACCGAAACTTAATGTTGGGTCTCAATTTATTATCTCTCAGACTTAACACTGAAGATGACTAAATGCCGAAACTTTTACAACTATTACAGACTAACACAGCAAGGATAACATGATTTCCAACCCATTACCTATCGAACCTAACCTAATCTGTCGCTAACACTAATGCTAAAATTAACCCGATCAGTCTATTACACCTATACTAAACCTAAACCTAAAAATAATACTAACCACTCCCTAACCTAACCTGTCCAAAACACTAACCTTAACCCTAACGTACGTCCCTAACCTTCACCTTGTTAAGCTAACCTAACCTATTCCTAGCCATTACCTAGTCGATCACTAACCCTACTAAACTTAACTCTAACATTAACCCTAACATAAATCCGTCCCTAAATTTAACCCTACTTAACCTTACTAACTTGCCCCTAATTATTACGTAATGTAACCTAACCCTAACCTAGCATCCGCACTCCCTGGTGTTGAACGGTAACGATCAAATTACGGGAGAAAAATCTCACGAAAAATATCGCTGTCACTTTGTTTACCATAGGACTCCCGATATCTATCCGTATGAACTTATCATCGGCTCTCGCCACTCCTTGCAAAGCTGTTGAAAAGAACTTTTTTGCAGTTTACATTTTTTCTTTTTTAGTTGACGAAGTCAAGAGAAAGTGGAGAAGGTTGCGAGATTCTTTCAGGAGGGAGTTTAAAAAAGCCTACTGTGAACAAACTGGCAGCGTGTCTGAAAAAATGAAAACATGGCCACTTTTCAGTCAAATGAGCTTCCTGCTGGATGTTGTCGCTTTAAAGAAATCACAACCCTTCATCGAAGAACAACTAACTGTCATCGAACAATGTGAAGTCATTGAAAATCCCAGCTACAGTATCGAGCATCCGATATGTGACGGTGAAGCACAGTTGACACTAATCGAATCGCCCAAATTTTCAATTCTGCCGCATGAAATGTTCAAAAGCCCGGCTAAAAAGAAGAAAAAGAACAATTATGAAGAACAATTCTATATTGAAAGTGAAAAATCGGTTTTTGAACAGGATAATAACCAAGACAGTGACTTTCAGTTCTTGGCGAGTCTTCTACCTTACTTGAGAGATGTGCCTGGCCATAAAAAATTAAAGGTACGTGCCGAACTACTAAATGTTTTTATAATCGAACAGGAGGAAAGAGACGCAAACCAACAACCTATAATTTAACGTTTATACGACTTTTCCTGCATCAAACTCCTAGAACTGTTACTGTATTGTTGTCTGATTATTTTTGTGTTTAACTACGTTATACACGATTTTGTAAAAACAATAAATTTTTCATTCAATGTATCTTAAAGTTGATCTTTTTTTGTTTACTTTGCCGACCAAGCATCCGCCAAACCACGTATCTAAAGTTATTGCTAGTCGTCTTCAGACTTCATTTATGCGTTTAACAGCTTCAGGGATTGGCCTGTGCTTTACTTCGTCTCTGTGCCACTAATATCACTGATGTAAGAGATAAGAGATTTAGAAGAGGTAAAAAAACCGACTTCTTGGATCATTCATGAGGTAAATGGAGTGGTGAGACTCCCAATTGACAGCATTGACCGGGAGACCAATACAAAGCATATGGTAATTTCGGTTCAACTAGGCCCCCTATTTATGCGAAACACGTTGCCGGAGAAATATCTCATGAGACTTTTCGAACAGATTCAAAGATAAGACCGTTTGACAGTTGATCAACCCTTAAATGCGTGTGGAAATCCGGGCATTTAGGAGGAGTTATGCTAAGGCTTTTATGTTTGAAATAGTCAAGAGTACGTAAAAATGCCCTTTCGTCATGGCTATTTTCATTTGTGCGACCCAATGCGAAACCCACCAGTTAATAAAAAGTTAGTTAAAAAGTTAATAAGAAGTTAATAAAACTTAAAATAAAGGACCAAGAATACAGACTGACCTTCCGTGGTTGATTTTTATTGTTTACTAGACTAATAGATTTAGTCGACTCGAGGATGGCCGCTGACTCTCTGATCAAAGATTTCCAACATATTGATATTTTGTAGTAAAAAAAACTTACGAAAGCCCTTTTAGAAGAGTACGTTTTTTTCAAACTTTATCTCCGCGTACGAATATTATCTTTGCTTCACGGCAAACCACTGAATCATGGATATAATCTAAATTGTCTCTGATCTCATCTTAACCCTAGCCCTAACACTAACCTATCCCTAACACCAATATTAACCCTAACCTATCCCTAAAACTAATAACAATCCTCCACTGACCCTACATCCCTAACACTAATCCTAACCTATCGCTGTTACTAATACTAATACTAACCTTTGCCTATCAGAAATATTAATATCAATCCCTAATTAATACCATAACTCTAAACTATCCCTAACACTAACCCTACTTAACCAGTCTTTAACTCTAACTAACCCTACTCTAATGTTACCATTAACTTTAACCTGTTCGTAACCTAACCTAACCCGTCATTTATCGTATTGTAACCCAACTTTACCTGACTGTAACACTGTTACTCCTTAACTTATACTTTCCCGCCCCTAATCCTAATATTTACTATAGCCAGACCCTAGCTCTATTACACCCTAACCTAACATGTCCCTATTCGTATCCGACCCTAGCCATAATACTTATTCTAGCCTGTCGCTTACCCCTATTACGCCATAGCCTAACTTTACCCCCTGTCCCTAACCCTGATCTAGCCTTAATCCTAAACAAACCTGTCCCTAACCCTAATATTATCTCTTATCTAACAGTAATTTTACCATTTCCTAACCCTAATCTGTCACTAACCATATAAAGTCTAAACTAATCTAATTCGATCCTAACTTTAACCCAACCTAACCTGTCTCTAATCCTATACACCCAAACCCAATTTACGGGAGAAAATCCATCACTGAATACTTTAACAGAAATTAATTGAATTAATTAAAACTGCAAGGAATTTTCAAGGATTTGATGTTTTGATAGCCGAAAAAACTAAAGAGAAGCGTGCTGCTCCTAGAAGAGTGTTGAAAGGAGAAGCTTAATGCTGGAAGTTCCAGAAGTTCAGAAGGGTGAAGATGGACGAACGTCGAAGAATCATTAGTCAAATGAGAAGTTAGCCGTCTCGAGGTAGTCTTTAGAAAGTACCACGTGAATATAACGGAAATTCTAACCACAAGCAATCATGCTTCTTCGATTACAGAAAATCAGCCGTTTGTTTGTATCCTGTTGTGAGTTTTATGTATATCAACAATATAACCTATAATAGGCTAGTTGAATCAGAGAATCAAACCATGCCAAAATCTATTCCAAGCAGCTATAAATTATGTGTAATTGCATGTATTAGTACCAATGTAAATGGTCCGAGTTACAATATATATATATAATGACGTGACTAGCTGACAGACAACGCACAGACTAAACCGCTGGAGCTAAAGGGCTGAAATTTCGAAAGTGCATTACTATAATATAGCCGCTAAAAAGGATTTTTTGAAATTCCATCCCTAAGGGGATCATGTATGTATTCCGAGTGAACTGAAGAAGAGGTGAATTTGAAAAACGAGAAGTTATATTAGAAAGCTAGGAAAACTAGTACATTACTTGTAGTTTGTAAAGGAAAAACAATATCGATCTGTACCAGTCATGGCTGTTTCTAGGTTGAATAACGAATAGAGAAAGACTATTTTATGAATGAAACCACAGTTTTATGCATGACAAATGAAGAAAATAGAAGCCTCCCGCTCATAAAGCTAACTATTTCATTCCAGCCATATTACAAGCGTTTCTAAGCCGCGTTTAACATCCAGTTCTGTGTGTTAAAGGGAAAAGTCCTTTAATCAGGTCATCGATTCGAAAGATTGAAGGCATGGAAACATGATAGCGCTTAACACTTCTGACCCAAAACACATCCCTTCCTATTTTCAAGAAGTATACATCATGCTTTCTGTCCTGTTGAAATATATATAGCCTTATGGAGTGTACTTTAATCTGGGAACATAACTCATTTACAAAGGTGTATGTGCAGAGAAGCTAATTTTCGTTGTTTTGTCTACCTTCGAAATTGAATTAAAACTAATAGATTTTTTGGCAAACATCTATCACTAAACTATCGAGTTATAGGCAAAATAACTCTGACAAAGTGTAATTAACAATACTTGCAAGTAAACTAACTGGTGTCTGTCTTCAAACGGAAGTCAGATGACAGAGCTGAATGAAATAATAGGGAATTTTGTATGGCGAGACTGTTTTGCACCCCTTTTCGGGTTAAAGGGGAGTTAAGATTTATTACTAGTGTAAAGGTTAGGCTCCTCTAACAGATTTTGGGCACTTGCGAGGAGATTCAATGTCAGTCTCACTTGAGTGGAAGTTAAATTGAGTTTTTATGCTGGATACACAAACTTTTTTGCGAAACTATTTTTACTTTAAAGGGGGAGGTTAAGGTTCGGAACATTAGTAAGGGTTAGGGACGAGTTAGGTTTAGGTTAGGGTTAGAATTAGGGACGGGTTAGGTTAGGAAAGGTTAGAGACAGGTTTGTTTAAGATTAAATTAATTACAGTGATGGTTAGGTTAACTAGGATTAGGTTAGTGTATATTATGGTTAGAGGTAGGCTAGGCTAGGGTAAGTTCTACTATTAGGTTTAGGAACAGATTAGGTAGGGTTAAGGACGCTTTAGATTGGGTAGACTTAAGGGTAATGAGCTGGATAAACTAACATTTTTGCGCGACCATTTTCACCTAAAACTAATCTTAACCCTTATCTGACTTAGCCCTAATACTTGCGCATTCCCCTGTAAAAAGAAAATGGTCTCTCAAAGAAGTGAGTGTATCCACACCATAACTAACTTCTACCTTCACATAACCCTATTACTCCTTAATCTAACCTTACCTGTCTCTAACCCTAACCTAGTCTTAGATCTCCCCCAACCCTAATTTAACTTAACCCTAACTTTGCCTGTCCCAACACTACTATATCGTAACCTAACCTTACCTGTCCCTAACCCTAATCTAACTTAATCCTAAATTTGCATGTCTCTAATCCTAACACTATTATACTCCAAGTTAACCCAAACCTAACTTTTCGATAATCCTATACACTCTAACCTTATCCGTATCTGACACTAATATAACTTAACCGTAATCCTAACCCTAATTCTACCATACTAACCTAAGTGGTCCCCAATTCTACTAACACTAACCTAAACATACCATACCAGACCTATCCCCGCGCAAGACTTTAGAGACAACTTGACAGATTTTTAGGACGAAAATTTGTTTTGACTGTCAAAGTTCGACTTTGTGCAAGACACCCTAACCCATTCTTACTCACTATCCACAACTTTCGATACTCCTCTATGCCTCGTCCGATTTCACCGATAGTTGAAAATGGTTACTTAGCTGGTAGCAAAAATTTACTCTGACTATTTACCAACACCGGATTCCTCAACTACCTCACACTTAAACGGAAGGAGGCGTCTTCTTGTCATGACTTGCTTATACCCTGACGCCCTTCCACACCCTTTGCGCAGTCAATTAGTGTGTTGGATATTTTATGGCTTCGAAGCCGAACATGTCAATAAATTCAAATGTTCGCCTGTATTCACAGTCTACTGACTTCCTAAGTAAACAGGTCACTTTCTTCCTATCCTTGGTATAGAAACAGTATGATATGTACAATAATATTCATGTATACCGTGCAATTAAATACACGACAGTGAACAATGAGACAATGAGAGATTCAGCGAAGGCCGTGTACTTTTTATGTGTAAATGTTTAAAAATAGATATAAATTCATCACTCATTCACTGTGATTTTAATAAAATGATTATTTTGATTATGATTTTCTCTAAAGGCAAACCGATAAACAGTAGGTTGATTGTATGTTTCAGTGATAATTCACGTACGGAAAACGGATGAAGAGTACAAACAGAAGCTGGCCTGTGTTCTGCCCAAAGTGGGTCTAGGTTTGTTGGGAGGAACAGCCGGTTGAATATGTAAGGTGTATTGTAACACGGCTGATAGGAATGTCTGCGGTTTAGGTTGAATAGTGGATGGTACCAAGGATGCTGCCTTGCGGGAAACTCGGTTCGGTATAGTATCATAGAAGAAGGATGTTCAGAATTGTAAATGAAATACCCTACCGGACAGAATGAGGCAATAAGTGAACTTACTTTGAAGTCCTAGACCTTTAGAAAGCTCCAGGACTCTCTGTCATGTTTGGAAGTTCAAGAAAGGAAATGACAAACT